GTTGCCTGGACCTTTTTTACAAGGCCTGATGAGAAAATAGGAAGAAAAGACCCGTCACGCTGAATGACGGCATGCCATTGATAAATGCTCCCTGGGCTAGCCAGGCGACTGGCTGATTCTGATCGGTTAAGCAGCTACAAAAATCTGAGAGGTAGGGAGCCCTGCAATGTAAGCCTTTGATGGAGTGGCCAGTGCCTATGTGTGCTCCTCACCTCTCCCAGGGGAGGGCTAGACAGACTGGCTGTCAAAGAAAACTAAAGCTGGACAGCCATCAAAGTCGTAAAATATATACATTTTAAAATTGCTTAAAGATAGGCTGTCACTAGGTAACCAAGGCTGGTCTTGAACTCCTGGGTTCAAGTGATCCTCCTCACTTCAGCCTCCCAAGTAGCTGGTACTACCAGTGTGCACCCCCATGCCCCACAGTAAAAATATATTTTACTCAGGAACTATTGCAATAGGAGAAAAGAGATCCCAGTATAGAACTGGACTCAATTCTGAATACAGCATGGGCAAATGGAAATTTACAGCCAAGGAGCAGAGTGGGGAATCAATGGATAGGAAATTAACTCAGAGGAAACATCAAGACATCATCAGGGTAGAGGGGAAATTAACAAGAAACGGGATAAGGGAGATTCAGGCTAAGCCAGCCTGACAGGATTCTTGAGGAAGGCAGGCCTGGGGCATGGGGAGGATGAGAAATCTGATCAGGTAACAAGGATGGTCAGATACGGAGGATGGGAAGGGGTTCTTGCTAAACTGACTTAGCAGGTTTCTTGCTAAAACTGGACTTTATAGAACTACAACTTAATCCAGCAATTCCACTCCTGGGTATCAACCCAGAGGAAAAGAAATCATTACATCAAAGAGATACCTGCACCTGTATGTTTATCATAGCACTATTCACAATAGCAAAGATATGGAATCAACCTAATGTCCACCAACAGATGATCAAAGAAAATGTGGCATATATACAAAATAGAATACTGTGCAGTCATAAAAGAATGAAATCATGTCTTCCACAACAACATGGATGGAACTGGAGGTCATTATCTTAAGTGAAATAAGTCAGTCACAGAAAGACAAACACCACATGCTCTCACTTCTGAGTAGGCATAGAGTGTGGAATAATACACAATGGAGACTCAGCTGGGCGTGGTGGCTCACACCTGTAATCCAAGCCCTTCAGGAGGCCGAGGCAGGTGGATCATGAGGTCAGGAGTTTGAGACCATCCTGGCTAACACAGTGAAACCCCATCTCTACTAAAAATACAAAAAAGTAACTGGATATGGTGGCGGGCGCCTGTAGTCCCAGCTACTCGGGAGGCTGAGGCAGGAGAATGGTGTGAACCCAGGAGGTGGAGCTTGCAGTGAGCTGAGACCGCGCCACTGCACTCCAGCCTGGGCGACAGAGCAAGACTCTACCTCAAAAAGAAAAAAAAAAAAATAGATGATGGAGACTCAAAAGAGTGAGGGAGTGGGAGAGGAGAGGATGGTGAGAAATTATTATAGCAAGAAATTACTTAACAAGTACAATGTATGTTATTTGGGTGTTGGAGACCCTAAAACCCTGACTTTACCACACAACCTATGAATGTAACAAAATTACACCAGTACCCCCTAAATTTTTACAAAATAAAGAAAAAAATAAATAAAATGAAACTGGATTTTACAAGGAAGTGCACAGACGGGTCTGGGAGAAGGTTCAGGAGCCTGGCTGGAGTTTGGTCAAGCAAAGAATCCTTGTCACCACTCTTCAATTGCTCTCGCCATCCCAGCTCTGTCTTAGGGCAAGGCAGCAGGAGCCAATGGGAATTAGAAGTGGACGGCAATAACAGGTGTGTGTTAAGGTTTTAGATGAATAAAGCTGAAGGGGCTTCCTTTACAATGGAAGAGGCTTCTGCAGACATCGGTGCAGGTGGGTCCCAAAGCTTTCCAGAGCTCACCCTTTGCCCCAAAGACAGTGTCCTCCGCCATCAGCTCATGTATCATTTATACCTCACCTCCTCCAAAAAGCACTGGAGGCAGCCTACCTGAAAACATATTCATATACCACAGAGCCATAAAATGAAGAATAAAAGGGCAAGTCAACTGCAGGCACAGCTTGCATTCCCCGCTGCTTCTTAACTGTCTAACAAATGGCCATGGGAATCCTCTTGCTCCAGAGTTGCTTTAATCCCAACACTTTCGCCATCACCACTGTGAAGCAAAACTTATGGGAAGCCATCAATTTGGACGAGGCCCCTGCACTAGGTCCCGGTAGACAAGACCAAAAACCAGAATGGAGTCACTCGTGCTAAGTGACATATAATCAAAGTGAAACTGCAAGGAAACAGATAGATCCCAAAACAGCACAGTTTTTCCCGAAAACAGGAGATTCCAGTCTACCTGAGTGAGAATAATAAGCAAGTCCTCTCTCTGCTTTAACCCTTACCAAAAAAAGTAACCTGAAGAAACCCGATGTTAGCCAATCCACTTTTTTTTTATTGCTGTTTCTGTGTTCTCACCTCACAGAGCCCACTGTTTTGCTACTGCCTGGTGGGAGCTCTCATTCTGTTTGTAAAATGGTTCTATTCATGAATCATGAATAAAAGCCAATTCGATTAATAACTAAATTTGTTGCAATTTTCTCTTTTGATGCCACCCAACACAAAATGCTTCATGATGGGTTTTAAAACTGTCCATGCACGGGCTTCCCTCTTACTGCTACCATCTTTGTCACCTCTCAGCACGATCAGCTTTCCCTGCCCCAGGCAGATCCGGTTACTCCCTACCCTCAACCACTGACCTTTTAAGCCATCAGGCTACCAGTGAGGCCTTGTTTTCCTCTCCACCAACTCTTTCAGTCAGTTATTTCCCAGAGTTACATTCTGTGAAGCTATCACAAGGTAGGTTCTCTAGAAATAGACTGTAAAATGCAAACTGCTGAGATGCAACTGTTGAGATACAAAATGTTTCTTGGGGTCAACCCCTGGAGGAAAAAGGGAGAGGAAGCAGGCCTGGCCCAGATGGAGATGGCACTTGTGGAGTAGGCTTGGTGAGCCTTGGTCAGCCTGCCGGAGAGCTCTGGGGTGAATGTGGCCTCTCAGAGGTGCGCTGCCTGGTAGCCTTTCTTCCTCCACCTTGCCTGGTGCTCAGATACAGGCTGCCCCAAGAAGGGCATCACTACCAGAAAGGGAATCTGCAGCTGAGGCACATCCTGAAGGAGCTGGCAGCTGGGGCCACCTGTTGACCACACTTCTCACTGCTGGGCAGCAAGTCCTTCTTTGAAAAGGGGATCTGGACAGTGTACTTCTCTGTTCCCTGCCCCAGGCTAACCCTGTCAGAATCCAGCAATCCAAGGGCTCCAACAGTGATGTGGGTGGGTCAATGTGCCATTTGCCCATGATAAATGGCCTTGTCCATCACAACCCTCATCTTGGACATCATGCTGCATTTGCTAAAATTGATCCTGGTGGTCTCATCTGGCTGGTTCCCTAGAACAGAGTTTCCCACTCAGACAACCAGAAAGAGGCATGCCAAGATATGTATCTCTTAAGTCCCCAGAGCAAGCAGAAGGATTCTGGGCCAGTTGCCTCTTCAGTCTGTCCTGTTGCACAGAATAAATGTCATTTTTAAACCTTCAAGGTGCACTGCTATAGAGCCACCTCTTCTTGGCCCTTCATTCAGTCACTGGCCATATGTTTATTGGACATCTATTATGCACCAGGCTCCATGCTAACCATCAGAGATACAGTGGGGGATGGGTTATAGAAGGTCACTATCATTGAGACATTTACACCTAGTGGAAGAGAAAAACTGAACAAGAACACACAGAAATGAACACATAATTAGACACAGTGATAAGTGCTGTAAAAGAGAGTAACAGGGTGGGGGCAGGGGAGGAAGGATGGGGATAGATAAGGCCAGAAAGACAGGCAGGCATGGGACGAAGTTGGCATCGTATTCTAAGCACAACAGAAAGCCACTGGGAGATTTTAAGCAAAGGAAATCCTGATTTGATTTATATTTTTACAAGAACACTCTTTGCAGCAAGTGACTAGCAGAGCAGTGGCAGGGGTCTCAGGAAAACCAGTAATTCAGTCTAGAGATGGCGTGTTCACCATGGGGAATCACAGCGGGCCACAGTGGAGAGGAGGGGGAGTGGAAGAATTCAAAATCTATTTTCAAAAAAGAATGACACTGACCCCACCCACCTTTAAGAAGCTTATACTGTTGGAAGGACAAACGTGCTAACAATTTAATATAGCAAAATAGTTACTTTAATAAAAAAAAAATAGAAGACATGGATGGAGCAGAAGAGGGAGTCTGGAAGTCTTCATGGAGGAGTCAAGATGCTCAGTGTTAAAACATATGTAGCATTTGCCTGGTGAGCTGAGGGCAGATGGTGCTGCGGGCAGGGCTGACAGTGCATGTGGTAGCCATGAGGATGTACCCCACAGACTTCTGACCACAGGGGCCTGAACTGACCAGAAGCCCCAGACACTGTGTCCATCCCACGCTGTGGGAACCCTCCCATTGTGTTGGTCACTTGTGTTTAGAAATCTGTTTTTTGTGACTCCTTTCTCCCCAGATTTCAAGCTCCTGGAAGACAGTCTCGGTCTTATTTATTGTGGCAATAAATACTTAATGAGAAATAAAAATCTTCTCTAGCAATAGCACCACTAAACAATGATTGCTTTCCAGCCCTCCCCGTTGACTTCACATTGTGCAGCAATTTCAAAGGCCTGGCCTTCAGGTGTGGTCTCTCCACCCAGCTCGTTGAGGGTAAGCCTCCATTCCCTCTTCTTGTGCCGTTTTCCACTGGCCACTAGGTACTGATATGCATACTTAAAGAACCCTCCAAAGACTACTGATTGAAATAAGTCAATAGAAATGGGTTTAAATCAATATGCAGTTGCTATTACTGGTTAATAGGATTTTATTCCTTTCTTGGATACAGGATGATAAAGTGACGTTGGCTGCTGCAGAAGGAGTTCACCACCTACAACTTCCCCAGCATGTCTGCTGAAAATAAACAGTTATCAGGAGCATCACCTCCTCACCCTCCCACAACTCCCCAATGTTCCACACAGACCTTACCTTCAGAGAAAGAGGATACTGAAGTAGAACTAGATGAGGAAAGTCTACAGGATGAATCTCCAGTTTCTTCAGAGGGAGAGTCTGGGGAGGACAAAGAGTATCTGGAGGAAGAAGAGGACCTGGAAGAGGAAGAGGATCTGGTGAAGGAAGAATACTTGAAGGAGGAAGAGCATCTGGGGAAGGAAGAGCATCTGGAGGAGGAAGAGTATTTGGGGAAGGAAGGGTATCTGGAGGAGGAAGAGTATATTGAGGAGGAAGAGTATCTGGGGAAGGAAGGGTATCTGCAGGAGGAAGAGTATCTGGAGAAGAAAGAGCATCTGGAGGAGGAAGAGTATCTGGGGAAGGAAGGGTATCTGGAGAAGGAGGGGTATCTGGAGAAGGAAGAGTATATTGAGGAGGAAGATTATCTGGGGAAGAAAGGGTATCTGGAGGAGGAAGAGTATCTGGGGAAGGAATGGTATCTAGAAGAGGAAAAGGCTCTGGAAAAGGAAGAGATTCTGGAGGAGGAAGAAGCTCTGGAGGAGGAAGAGAATCTGGATGGAAAAGAAAATCTGTATAAAAAGTATCTGAAGGAAGGTGAGTATCTGGAGGAGGGAGAGCATCTATGGGAGGAAAAGTATCTGAAAGGGAAAGAAGGTCTGGATGAAGAAGAGTATCTGGAAGGGGATGAGTATATGGAGGAGGGCCTCCCAAAGGATGGTAGCTCTAGTTTACCAGGATGCCCAGGAAAAAAAGCACAAATCTGAGAGCGAGCCAGAGCACAAATTGTCAACCCTATCCATGGTGCTGACAGGTAGGAAGACTCATTTACTGACCAAGTTCTGCTCACAACTGTAATATAATAGCCTTGCCCCCAAAGCACTGCACCAACAAAGCAGGCAGGAAGACTTCATAAACATAAGCCATCTGTTTATAATAATAATTGTTATTTGTATCTTTCCTTTTTCATATTACACAAGTAATACATGTTCATTGCAGATGCTTTAGAAACTATATATAAGCAGGCAAGGAGCAGTAGCAGTGGCTCACACCTGCAGTCCCAGCAGTTTGGGAGGCCAAGGCGAGAGGATTGTGTGAAGCCAGAAGTTTGAGACCAGCCTGGGCCACATAGCAACACCTCATCTCTACGAAAAAATTTTAAAATTTAGTCGGGTGTGGTGGCAGACACCTGTGATCCCAGCTACTCAGGAGGTTGAGATGGGAGGATCACTTGAGCACAGGATTTTGAGCAGCCTGGGTGACAGAACACTCGTCTCTTAATAAAAAAAAAAAAGAGAGAGAGAGAAGAAAGAAATAAACTATATATAAGCAAAAAGAAGAAAGCAAAAATCACCACCACTTGACTATCAGATTTGATAATCACTTTCTGCACTTGTGATTATATCTTCCCCAGACTTAGTCTATATATATACACACATACATACATGTATTTATATACACATATATATACACATACACACACCCCTTTTGTAAAAGGATCAAGCTTTATATTGTGTTTGTAACCTGCTTTTAAAGATATACTTATTTATATATTTATATAAATATTATAAACACTATATGTATATGAATAGCATTTAATATTATATACATTTAATATATTAAGCTTTCTAAAAATCATTTTAATGACTGCATCGCATTGTATTGTGTTGATAAGCTATAATATTTTTAATCAATCTTCTATTATTGACCATTTATTGCTTCCAATGTTTTGTTCCTTTTTTAAAATGGCATTTTGGTGAACTGTTTTATCAGAGATCTCTATTTCCTGGAATACATTCCTACACTCTGTTGCTAGGTCAACAGACACTGGTATGCTTCTCAGGATACCCATTTATCTCCCTTAAAGGAATCATTTTAGTCTGGGGGCAAGTATTGGACTTTAGAGTGATTTTTCTCATCCAAGGGCTAAAGTTTTTTCAATACTCTTTCAGCAACTGGCAACATTTCCTCATGTTGGGTTTTATTATTTGACAGTAGCCTCCTTGTGCTGTTTGCTGGCAGTGATTAATGTGCTTTTGCTCATATGTCCCTGTAGTGTCTTCTCTTGATGTTGTGACTGCATGGCCATATTCTACTAGGTACAGAAATGTAAAGGTTGAGGTCACCTACATCATCTTCATGCTGGCCTATAAGTAGAACTAAACTATTTTTCTGGATTTGGTTCTGCTACCAACTGCAAGCATCCTAGGCAGCCTGAATTTTTAAATTCCTAAAAACCTGATTACACTCAACCTACATCCTAAAAGCTAGGTGTTATCAGCAGCCACACAAGCATTTACTGTTACATCCCTCTCCATCAAATCAGATGTACCATCCTTGATTCCTACTCCCCTCCTGGAAATTTAGTTGTTGCATTAGAGAGGTAATTCCGCTATTGCTGGGAAACTCTCTTTTCTGTGTGCCTCTACCATTAAGTTTCCTCTTGGAATCCTAATGTCCCTGCTGTTCAAGTATCAAATGTAATTCTAATACTGAAAAATAGCATTCAGGGCTTTTTCTCTTGCACGGTATGAATCAAGCATTCTTAACATGTCCCCTCTATGTGCTGGATCTTAGTAAATATATTACCCACTAGAGTAGGACAAATACAATGCTGTCAAGCGAATGGAACTGTGTATAAAGCAAACACTTTGAAAATAAATGTCCTGCTAACAAAAATTGGAGAGGCACTGAAGAAACACCAGGGAGATGCTGAAATGCCTTTCAAGGCTCATGAAAGAATGTCTTGGTTTATGAAATTCTAGGGCTTCAAGACAGATTGTACAAAACAGGTTAAGAAAAAATTTATAAGGAATTTCTTAACTTTTCAAAAAATATATATCAATATTTTTAGGTAGAATATTCTCCTAATACCCTTAAGATATAACTTCGTTTACCCTTGTGTTGAACCTCAGTAACTAACAAGAGTGCCTTCCTCACCTATAGCAGATGCTCAGTACATGTAAATTGAATCAAGTGATCATATTCACTTCCTAGAGCCAGTCACACTCACATATACATGAGTGCCCACAAATTCTTTTAAGCCTTATCAATTAATTGGCATCTATAAAATGAGCCCTAGATATGACAAATGGGCTTATCTCTCATGCTGATGCATTAACTACTAGAGGTTAGTGGAAAACTACGCTGAGAAGAATTCTGAGGCCTTGTCTGGGCTCAGCAGCAAAGAGTGCTGTGATCAACTAGTAATGTCTGCCACAGGAGCCGACAGTGAAGGGGGTGCCTGAATGCCATTTATTTATCTACTTAATAGCAAATAGGAGTCTGTCATGAAGAGCACATTTTCCTTTCTCTCAGGATCTTGACTGCCTAGGTTTGAAAGCCAGCTCTCTCCCTCTCACTAGTTGCATGAGCTTGGGCAAGTGACTTAACCTCTCCATGTCTTGTTTGTCTTCATTGTAAATAGGAACAGCATTAGCCCTACCTCATAGGATGTGTGGGAGGATTAAAGTGATTTAATTAGGTAAATCATTAAGAGATATGCCAGGCACATAGCATTTTAGGCCCAAGAAAGTGTTGGCCATTGTAAGTATTATTATATTACATGATGTATTATTATTCCCTTGCCATTGACTTGTGACTGGCCACACGCCCCTAGCCACATTACCTGCTTTGTGAAATGGACATAACCAAAAGATGGGACACAATGAACCAGGCTGTGGGAGGGATCTACACCCTCCACTCATCCACCCTACAGGCCGGTCAACTTCAGAGACTCCCACAGCCCTGGACAAATCAGGTTACATCAGACTAACAACCCCCACCCACCTCTCTTCCTTAAAGGCTTGATTCCCCCCAAAGTTTATGGGGAAATCCACTAAAATTAGGTGAGCAACTTGAATATAAATGTAGCATCAACTGCCAGTGAATAATTGGTTAGTTGCATCTGATTGGCCTGCTGGGGGAGTTCAGATTTTGGATGCACAACATGGGTGTGAGTGCTGTGGTGTCCAAGTCAGAAAACCCAGCACACGGTGGGGCCTAGACCTTAGGCATGTCACTTATCATCTCTAGGTTTCAGTTTCCCCATGTGCAAAAACACCTTTCTCACAGTGGGTTGCAATAAGTAAATGAAGTAACATATCTGAAACTGCTTTGAAACTCCCCTGTACCATGCAATTGTAAGTATAAAATACTCTTCTAATCTTACAAGAAGAGAGGTGCTAGATGAGCCTCCAGGCTACATTGCTCTCCTGCTGCCGTAGAACATACTATAGAGTGAAACTACCCCACAATGAGACCCCTTTTAGTTTTTTTAGTACCCAAGACATTCCTAATGATAAATTCTGCCTTGTGGCAAATAATGCTATAGAGATGTCACAGTACATTGATTTTGATTCATCATATTTTTGCCTCATCTTTTGATATACATAATGCATCGAATTTTATTTTCTTTACCCTGCTAGCTCTTCCTCAGCAGCTCCAAATGCTGTATGGCCTAACTGCTGTAATTCAGTTGCCATTTCCAGTTGAGAGCTGGTGTCCCAACTACCATTTCCAACAGGGAACCTAGCAATTCTGGAAATTTCAGAAAAAGGTGCAAGAGACACTAACAAGGCAGAGATGAGAAAGCCAGCCAACTTTTCATGCAAGGACGTTCACCTCTGTGACCTTGAGTCAACCACTGGTGGGTGGGGGGATGCTGAGCCCCAGAGCCGGTTGCCGATGCCTCCACTGTGCTCCCAAAAGAACAGAATTATTTTCTGTATGTGTGTTGTTCCAGTGAAATTTAGGGAACATAATCTGATGGCATAGGGTACATATTGTATATTTCACAATCTCTATCTCCTTTAATTGTCCCAACCATTTTCTCTTCCTGCCCATTTCACAGATGAGCAACTTTGAGCTAGAAAGAGCGCATGTGACTACCCCAAGGTCACAGAAAATCATTAGAACAGCCAGGACAGGCTCCCAAACTTTCTCTCCTCTTCTAGTCGCTTCTCCTCCTTTCCTCCCTTCCTTCCTCCTTTCATGCTTTGTTTCTGCTTTTTAATAAGTTGTGTACCTATTTTAATTTTAGAAAAGGGACATCAAAAAAAAATCTTCTTGTTCCTTTCTTTAAAAAAATGAAAAATTTGAAAAGTAAAGAGTAGAAAGACATCCCCCAACCTGTGAACATTCAAATATAAATAAAGCTAATTCACACTTAAGTGATTTGTATTCTGTCTCCTTGCCGCCATTGTTTGCATTTGTGATAGTGATGGTCCTTGTTGTGTGGTTTGGTTTTTACCATTTTAAACATGCTGTCTATACAAGGTAGTATTTTACTTTTGTAACTTAGTATTATAACTTCACCATTTGCCCATGTTGCTTAATTGTTAGAGACATCATTTTAATAACCAAGGGATATTCCTCAATAATATTTTGTTGCATGGGTAAGCTATGGATAAGGGAAGTGTTCACATTTCCTTTTCCAATTCAAATGTTCTGGTTCTTGTTTCTCTATTGCTTTCCCTGTTGCCATTTTGTATTATCAGAATTGGTGGCATATTTTATCTTTATCCCAAGTGTACAAGAAATTCTTGATGCCATATCACTCAAGGCAAACCATCAGGTGATTACGGGGACATAAGCAGGTCCTTCAAAATTAAAATTAATTCTTAAAATACATATATGCCCTGTACCTCAGTCACCTCTGCTGGACAGACGTCCTTCATCCCGAGACAGAGGGAGGCTTCTGGGATAACCATAGAGATAAGCAAAGCAAACTTGAATTTCCAAAATCCATGATTGCCTGAAAAGTATCTTCTTGAGTTCTCACTAATTTTATAAAATTTCAACCTACTAATTTTTAAAGGAAACCCTTAAGAGACACTACTAAAGAAAAGTAAAAATAGAAAATTTCTATGATGAGGGCCCTCTCCACGTACTTAACAACACATTTTTAAATAGAAAGATGCTTTTTTGCCAATATTGTTTTTTATTCTTTTTTCCAATAGAACCCAAGGCAAGTTATTCATCACAAACCATGCTTCTTCGTGATGCAAGGTAATAGTTTTCTTTTGGGATAAATCAGGTGGAAACTCCTGCTTAGGGACAATGTTTCAGCAGCCCTTGAAGAACCCAAGACGGGGTGTGGCATGGAGTAGGGGAGGAAGGAGGAGTTTAGTGGGGCTCCCAGAAGTTACAACCCTGCTTGCCTCTGCCACTCAGTCACTCACAGAGGAGGGGTGGGTCCCAAGATCAGAGTCCTGGGTGCTCAGAACCACTAGAGATGAAAGGGGCAGAGGTTGTCTGAGCCTGGGGAGAAGGTCTCAACCAGGAGAGACTGCAAAGGGCTCACAAGCAGTGCTCTCAGGGAAGCAGATGAATGAATGTCCCCAAGGGAAGGTGCAGTCTCTCCAGGAAGAGAATAGGTTTAGGCATATTTCCAAGGCGTGAATTCTCATTCAGTGAATACTCATTAAAATCCTGTGACAGGACTTGGCACACACTAGACGGTCAATGAAGTATCTGTGGAATAAGTGAGCCTCTGTGGAATATGCTGGGCCTGCTACGTGCCCAGCTGCAGGGGTCCACAAGCCTTGTCCTTGGCTTTTTGTCTTGTCCCCTACACTTTTTCCCCAAAGGATAATTTATCTCCACTAGATCTAAAAAAAAAAGTACAGGGCCAGTTTAGTTACGGCGAGAAGCAGGAATGAAATCCCAGTTTTGCCAAGTAGGGGACTCATAAGTTACAACTTGAGGGCACAGGGCTCCCACGCAGGGCTGTCCCTTGACCCAGCGAGGCAGCCCCACTCCAGCTCTATTCTCCGCTGCACACCTCCAGGGACACTGCGAGGCCTCTGACAGGTAACTCCACTGCAGGTGATGCATAAACGAGGGAGTGGCTTTCCAAAAGCCCCCGCTCACCCCAATCGCTGACACTCAAAGCAAGTGAAGCAATGTGGTCAGACACAGTGAAGGGGCTCGACAGTGATGTGACCACCTTAAAGATATTGATAACTGGGGCTTTGGAGCCAGACTGCCTGGGTTTGAAACTCAGCTCCTCCACCCAGGCAGCCACTTAATCTCCTTGTACCTCAGTTTCTTCACCTGTAAAATGGGGAGAGGAAGAGTTCCAGCCTCACGGGGTTTTGGTGAGGATGAAATGTATATTTACTGAGCAGGAGGCTGAACAGTGACCAGCAGACAGCACACTCTCAGTAAGTGCCGCAGATCCGTGTCATCCTCCATTCTGCACCCCATGAACCACCAGGTAGAAAACTTAGCATGCCCTGAACAAGAGTCAGGATTCCTGGTCAGCTTTATTCCAAACACACACACCAAGCCAACCCTTTGTTCATATTTCAGCTGAGGGGGTTTCCAATGGGTTCCGGGGGCCCATGGAGAGCTGTGAGGATCAGAGAGGCCCTGGGGGACCTTCCTGGTGTCCACATCAGGCTTGGGTCCCCAGGGGCCAGATCTGGGCCTCCAAGTTCTCAGGGAGGCCCAGGATATTCTTCACATGAGAAAGCTGAGAACCCAAACCTTCCACAGACTCCTTTAGGCCGTAAGTGTTACATTCACACATGCACATGTGTGAGAGGCAAGGGTTGGGGAAGGATAGCAGGTACAGATCAAGCGTGTCATGTGTCCCTTATAAACAGAAAGGCTGTCAGCCACCCCAGGCCTGGAGCAGCTCCCTCTCTCACTTCCCCATTTACTGAAGATCCTCCAGGCACATGCCAGGCCCTCCCCTCGCTAAAGCACTACAGAAGCAGGCCTCGAGCAGTCCAACTCCCCAGGATCCAGGATCCAACGTCTCCACCCTGTGTCCTCTCCATCGCAATGGAACATGGGGCTAGTGTTCAGCCCAGGCGACTAGAACCTGGTTCTGCTTCCTGGGAGGTGAGCCCTGGCAGGAACCCCAGAAGGCCCTGCGATGATCCAGCCTGGAGCAGGCACAACAGAGAGCGTATGGGGGAAAATGTACTTGATAGTGGAAATGACCAGAGAAGCCAATATTATGAGATAACTCTCTAAGTTTGTTTGGCAGATTTGACTTTTCTAAGTCCTTTCATAAGAACTGGCGTCATCTCTGTGGTCCCAGTGGGCACCAGGTGAGTGAGGTATGACAGTTATCATCTCGCTAGAAGGATAAAGAAACTGAGGCCCTGGAGAGTCTACTCACCTGGCCTTGGGGCCTGGAGCAGGACAAGAGTTGCCATGGACCTGAGGAATTCACCTGCATCCACCTGTTCTGAATCCCTGCTGTCACCTGACCTAGGACCCAAACATCTGGCCACTTACCCAGGGGCCCCTTCTTGATGGTGTGTCCTAAGAACATAGCTGCTCAGCCCCAGCCTGCAGGGCTGGCACAGACCCAAGCTCCCCTACTTGTCCCTCAGAGGCACCTGCAAGATCTGCCTGTAACTCCTATAGACCCTGAAGGGAGCCTTCCCAGGGCACCCACCTGCGAGAACAAACAGCCTCTGCTCTCTCCCTCCACCTCTTTGCCTGAGCCCTTACCCAGACTCCAGCCCTTAACCCACTCCCCGCCCCTACACTGAGTTCCCTGGTGCAGATGGGGACAGGCCTAACTTACTTCCTCTGCAAGAGTAACAGCAAACAAGTAACTTACCCCAAGTGCCTCCACTATGTTGCAAGAGCCAACATTTAAGCTCAAGTGTCAAGAGCTGACACCAAAGTCTATGCCTTTGCTACCAACCATAGTCACCACCTATTTATATGTTGGGGATTTTTTTCTTGTGCCCATCTCTGCCAACTGGACCAGTTGATATGAAATAACTCCAGAGCCAAAACACCCCCAAAGACCCCTCTCATTCCTTTGAATTAATTTCTTGCCCCTAGTTAAAAGCCAGAGACTCCTGAGAAAGAACACAGTGTGGGTTGATGTGTCAGGGTCATCCCTTTTGATCCTAAGCTGCCAGGTAGTGGAGCCTGCACCTCACACCCAGTGCCTTGCCCTCAGGCCCTTTGGAAAGCCTTCTTAATGGTGGTGGTGTTTGTGGTGAGCCGATTGCAGGGACAGACCTCAGTGCTTAATTTTAAACTGCTGCAGCATCTAATTCAGTATCTTTTCCACTCTGACCAAAACAACCGTGAGGCAGGGAGAGGCACCAGAATAAGCAGGGTTGTGAGCCAGGAAAGAAGGAGACTGTTCTGGAACATCTGTCAGTTATGACCACCTGGCCCAGTGGCCTTTGAAGGCAGCCACAGATCCTCTCATGGTTTAGTGAAGCAGCAGTGGCAATGTGTGGCTCTGCTGCCCAGAGTGACACACTGGCCTATTTTTCATGATTCACAGCTCGTCTCTTCAAACCTCGAGACGTCCATCATCCGGGTCTGGATGTCAAGAGCACCCCTTCAACCCCTAGCGTGCCTTAGGAGGGGTTCCTGACCTGGCCCCTGTCTGGAAGTTGACCTTCCTGTTCTCCCCTCTGGCAGGAGCCCAGACGCTGGCCCCTCTCAAGCGACCAACTTCTTGACTGTCCCGTTGATTTCCATGACCCCTTCTGCCACCTCTGAATCTGCCACAGAGTCTTCTGAGTCGCTTCTGACATTGTACAGGAGGAGCCAGGCCAGTCAAACGGACTGGCACTATGGCGGAACTGCCGGTGAGGAAAGCTGAGCTCTGTCGGCGAGGCCCAGCCAGGCTCTGTGGGCTGGGGGAGTAATGGTCTTGCAGCATTTTGTGCATGTGAAATATTGTAGCTTGAGTATTGCCTCTCACGCTAATGATATCCTACTGTTTCCGTTGCCCTCTGAGGTCGCATTTTGGGTAAGTTGTTAACTCCCCTCCTAGCCTTGCTTCCCGTTTCCTCCCATCCCAGACCCCCCTCAGAGAAAGAGCATCAGCAAAGTGCTGAAACAAATAGCTTCTTCCATCTTCCCGTCTCCTCCCCTGTTTTTCATTCATCTTCCTATTCTTGTTCTACATGAACACAGGCACGATTTCCCTCAGGGACACAGGCCATTTTCTTCCCAGATTATACACTGGCTCCCTGGGGTGACAGGCCATATCCAGATAATCATGTGGAAAATGGAAAATGGGACATGGGCCCACCACCGACAGTCTCAGCGTGAGGTCGAAGCCAGCCCTGATTCAGAACCCACCAAAACTATCTATGTAGCGAACCTTCGTGGCTACAGCTCAGACACACAGGAGAGAGTCCGGCAAAATTGCATTAAGGGTCTTCATTCTCTACCCAATTAAGCCCCGAAATCCTCACTCTGGGACCCTGGGGGTGGAAGACCGAATAGCATTTCTTGCCATTATTAATGATTTAAATCCAGCCTTAGTGGGATCGATCCATCACTGATTCACAGATTTATTTCACATCTGTAGTCATGGCAGCAGTAAATTAGATTCCCCCGTCACCTCCCCTCCCTGCCCCTATCCATGGCTGCTAAATTTTGTAGCTCCAATGTGGTTAAATGAGATTAGGAGGCAGAAACCCTATAAGAGAGAATGGAGAGGCAGAGGACAGGCACACACTGCCAGCATGTGCCGAGGAGTGTTCCACAGGCTACATCGGTTCACTGGGAACCTTTTTCAGTTCTGTGTGCTCCCCCAGAGCCCCAAGAACTGGAACTATCTCAAAGTCAGTAAGCATGACCACCGAGAAAATCTGAGCATTTATGTAAATATTCATAAGAAGGATTCTGAAAGTCATTTACTGAGTAATTGCCAGTCAAGTGCCAATGCTAAGCTTGAAAGGATGTGGGAGAGGAGAAAGGTAATGGGAAAAGGCTGGGGTATGCAACAGAGGGGACTTGAGCCTGTTCACACCACTGTGGACCCAGCCCATGGGCTGGCCACATGCCTGAAGAGGGCGACAAAGAGGAACCAGGAAGCACAAAACTGAAAATGTAGCTTTCTAGCGCTTATCAGAACCCCTGCCGGAAACATCCTGGAATCTGCATTCTTAACCAGATCCCCAGAAGCTGCTCAGGGACATGAACGATGAGGAACTAGAGAACCTCTAGTTTAAGATGAATTGGTTTCAAGGCTCCCTCTTCCAAAGCATGATTTTATTATGGGATTGTTCAACCACAATGAGTCAAAAATGGTGTTCCACATGGCTCAGCCTCTCTCGACAAATAGGACTTTGGCCAAATATGGAGGAAAAAATACCCAGGTAAATCCTCGGGACCTATGACTGCAGAGGGTGGCAGGTCTGACACGGAAAGGCTGCAACAGGCACAGGAAATGCTTCGTGATCCATATAAGGAGACGCTCTGGAGGACCGGAAACACTAGTTATGGCCTCATGTATCTATCCAGGCACAGAGCAGGATTATAAACCAAGTCAGCCAGAAATTCAACACAGAGCATTACATCCATGCTCACAGAAATCCTCCAGACTTAGTGCCTGGTACATAGTAAGCATGAATATTTAATAAATACTTGTGAAATTGTTGTTGAGCCCTCATCTGATTCAAGGTCAGATCATGGTGATAAAAGGGTATATACCACTACAAAAAAATTAATCTTAGTAGGAAAGGAGCTCTGTAGATAGAAATATGTACACATAGAGACATTGTGTGTATAGAAATGTGGCTGAGAATACGCAGAGGTGTAAGCAGAGGTCAGATGTAGCATTAGTCTGTTTCCACGCTGCTGATAAAGACATACCTGAGACTGGGTAATTTATAAAGAAAAAGACGTTTGATGGACTCACAGTTCCACGTGGCTGGGGAGGCCTCACAATCGTGGCAGAAGGGAAAGGCATGTCTTACATGGCAGCAGCCAAGAGAGAGAACTGAGAACCAAAGGAAAGAAGTTTCCTCTTATAAAATAATCAGGTTCATGAGACTTATTCATCACTACAAGAACAGTATGGGGGAAACCGCCCCCATGATTCAGTTATCTCCCAGCAGGTCCCTCCCACAATACATGGGAATTACAAGAGCTACAATTCAAGATGAGATTTGGGTAGGGACACAGCCAAACCATATCAGATGGGGAAGAGGATTGACAGCTCTCAAAAGTACAAACTGGTGTGTTTCCTTCAGTGGACTCAGATTTTGAAATATCACATACCGAGGTTAAAAAGATGAGGATGCCCTCAACAATAAATACAGGAAAATGGCTGTGAACTTTAAGAATAGTGTCAGGAAAGCTGAATCAATCCCAGGATAAACATTCTTACCAAAACATAATAATAATAATAGTGATCATACAGGCAGCAGCAAAAGACAGAGGCCCATTTAAAACAGAACTGAGCCAAAAAAAAAAAAATCAAGACAGACAGGCTAGTACTGTTTAGTGTAGTGTTGATGAACGATTCAGGGAAAAATCAAGTTGTTCAATTGCTATTTAATTTTGACTTCGCTGAAAAAAAAAATTATTCTCAAACTGAAAAGAGTGCAACAAAATTAGGTGAGAAATAGCAGGAACTAAAGATTGGTGAAAAGAAATCAAAAGAGAATGGTAACTGCTGTCTCCTGATCTGGATAAAATATACTCCAGAATGTGTACATAGTGAAAGGATAGCTTAATCTTGCTTCTGGTTTTTGAGGAATTGTGGGAAGTTGGTGAAATGAGTCTGTGACCAATCTGGGACAAATACTGAGAGCAAAATGATCGCAAGAAACCAGCCTAAGATCAATAGAAGCCAATCACATAATACTGGCTTTGAGGTCACTTTTTGACAAGGTTATCAGATTAGGGAACTGTGGAAACCCCATAGGGCGCAATTCCACGAGACATTTCATTTCCAAAGGCTTCCTGATGTTCCTGGACAAGATACAGATATATTAGGTGGGTGCTACTGTAAGATGATGTCATCACTAATAATAACTGATTGAACAGCACTCCAAGATACTGTTTCATAGATCAGAGTGGACCCGGTTTCCAGCAGAGAGCCGTGGGGCTCTGTCCAGTACAAAATTTTTTTATAATAGGCTTGGATGCAGATTTAGAAGGAATATTTATATTTATAGATGCCCTGCAGCTGTTGAATGCTGAGGATAACATAATCAGATTCTAGAAGATTTTGGCAGGCAGAAACATCGGACCAGAATTAGCTAGATAAAAGATATTGGTCATTGATATTAGATCCTCCTATCAGGCCCCCAAAAACAGCAGGCTGGAGAAGTGCAGAGTGAGGAAGCCCTGTTTGTTGTTAGATGCTTTCTTCAACCACAAGCTCAATAATTCAATAGTATAATTGACGTCACTGCCAAAAAAGTTAACACAACCAGATACAACTGAAAGGTTATGTAAAGAGGATTTCATCCTGCTCTGCCCCACACTGGAGTGCCGTCGCTGGAATGGCGCATTCAGTTTGGGGGATACCACACTCTCTAAGAACTAGAAGCAGCTTGGTGGGGGCTCAACAGAAAGGCTGGTGTCCTGGACAGTAAACTGCCAACTACCTCACACAAAGAACTGCTGAAGCAAAGGAAGATGTTAAGTCTGGAAGACACATGACTCTGAGATGTAAAAACTGACTTTAAATATTTGACAATCTGCCACACAAAACCAAGACCTGAGTCTTACACTCCAGACTGAAGGGCTAGAATAGGACACTAATGCAATCCCACAGAAATATTTTAAGAAAAGAAATTATACCTAACAGTCAGAACTGTGCCATGGCACAGTGAGTTTTCTTGAAATTGGAGAGCTCCTTGTCTGCAGAAGTGCCTGCCTCTTGCTGAAGAACTAATAGGCACTGATACGGCAAGTGTTCAAAGTCCTGTTAATGCCACAGACCACCACACAAGGTTTTGTTTTTGTTTTGTACCCTGTCCATCTTGAATTTAGGACCCTCCCATAAGCTGGTGGAGCAGTTTACTTGGCTTTTTCATCATGGCCCTATTAGTCCCCGCTATTAAGAATGGAATGGGCTGGGCGCAATGGCTCACGCCTGTAATCCCAGCACTTTGGGAGGCTGAGGCAGGTGGATCACCTGAGGTCAGGAGTTCGAGACCATCCTGGTCAACATGGCAAAACCCCGCCTCTACTAAAAATACAAAAAGTAGCCAGGTGTGGTGGCACACGCCTGTAGTCCCAGCTACTCAGGAGGCTAAGGCAGGAGAATGACTCGAACCCAGGAGGTGGAGGTTGCAGTGAGCGGAGATCGCACCGCTACCCTCCAACCTGGGCAACAGAGTGAGACTCTGTCTCAAAAAAAAAATAATGGAATGTAGGGTGTGTATGTGTGTGTGTGTCTGTCTGTGAGTGTGTGTACACACACATGTACACACATGTATTTAGCATTTAGGAGTAGGAAGACAAATACCAGGGAAAGAGGAAAAAGGAACAAGGATCATAAAGTTCCAGAAGACAGAAAACAAGGGTAATCAAGAACTTACAGAAGTCCTAATGTATATATACAGTAGCTTCCCGTTGCAAATCTTAGCAGATCTATCCTAGGCAATCCCCATGTTTCCCATCCAGTCCCCATTGCACACCCCGTGGTCACAGAGCAGACACGCTACTTCGTACAGTGACAGGCACACCGCATTGTATGTCTACATGGCCTTGGAGCCACTTGGTTCTATGGTTCCTACAGCAGGAGGGATACCTCTAAAGTCTTCCTCTTACCCTGCCTCAGCCCTTCCAGCTATCCTGAGGACCGAAACTAGCCTCATGGTAACCAGATTAGAAGGCCACAACAGGGTTACATTTTCTGACCACTAATTTATTGCAATCCTAGAGTGATTTACCAAAGCCAAAGGGGTTGGGGTGCAGTGGGGCATCTATATATGCCAGCTGTACCTGCCAGCCTCAGTTGCCCCAAACTGTTGACCAGCTTTGGGTGCCAAGAAAGAACCTGAGGCCCCAAATACCCAGTATGAATCCACTGGAAAATGTAAGGTTTAAATCATTAATAGCCATCCTCTTCTGCCTTTTAACAGTAAAATCTTTAAAATCGAAATCAGAAACAGAACAAGAAAGCACCACGAAGCCTGCTCCGAAAGGTAAAGTTTATGATGATTTTAAATGATCTGTAGAAGTTAGTCATCCATCCTGGAGAAGGTAAGAAGCACAAAATCAGCCTGCCCCCAACCAAGGAGAGCAGGCTGTTGGCCATTTTAAAACAGAGCAGGCTTAACGGAGGCCAATGACCAAGGCATTATTTCTGGAATTTAATGTCAAGGCTCCAGGCTCAGGTAAGACATTGAGCCAGAGAGTTAAGTGCTCTGGCATTTTGAAAGGAGAGGAAACAATATTTGTCACTGCAATTAGGAGGGAAGATAATGGTGTTACCCATACTTAGTTCATGCAATGACATTTACTATATCCCTACTGTATATGAGGCAGGATATAAAGTAGACAAAACCCATCTCACCCTCTCAGAACCTGAACTCTAGTGGGCAAGATACAATAAGAATAAAGGGAGGGGAATCAATATTCAGTGAATATGTGCTACAGGCCTCCAACTGCTGAAGATCAAGGAAGCCTCTTATCCTAAAACACGTGCAGTCCACCCTGAGGCTTCCCAGCTATCTAGGAGGTGATTTTTAAATTGATTCCATAAGGGATTAAAAGGTCTGGACTAGTTCACCATACCGTATCCTGTTAATAATTTTTCCTATTCTTTTTTAGAGTGTGTTAACATGAAAGTACAGCAAAAAGAGGAAGAAAATGGTGAGCGTCTGACATAATATATCCAAAGATCCCTGCTTTCTGCAGAGTGCCCTGGGTGGGGAAGGTGCCCCTGGCAGGTGGCTCCCTCTGTGATCCAGCATGCCCCTGGGCCGAGAGGGGACTGAGGGGCATCCTGGGCACATGGCCCCCGAACCTCCTCAAGAAGGAGGCTGAAACGAGAAACAGAGAGAGGGTCTCTGAAGGGACAGGACTCAAAGTCCATCTTCCTACTCAAAAGCTTGGGATAGGGACTCCCACACTTAAGAGCATCCAGGGGGTTGCTGGATTCCCTGAGGCCCGGGAAGCAGGCTTGACTGGGATACCTGCACCTCCCCAGATAGACTCAGGGTCCTATGGCATCTTGGTAATGAATAAATTGGAGCCCCTACAAATGGTGTCTTAAAGGTTTATTAAATCCTTATTAAGAGGGGGTTGGTTGAATCCTACAAGGGGGAAGAACAGGGGAGAATCCTTAGGGCAGCAGAATCCCAACTTGTGAGTACCACTCCCCAAAACAAAAGCCTGCAATTAACCAGACCCATCCTCATTAGAACACAATTTAGGGACTAAGATCTGTTTTACTTGAACATAGGGGTAGTGGGAGAGGGATCAGTCTTACATACACACAACAGCTGCTTATACTCCCATCCCCACCCCATGGCTTATCAAATAAACCCATGTAAACTCTAGAGTATGCATCCCACCCAATCCATCACACTGCCAGAAGGGTACTGATAAATAGCTTTCTCCATCTTATTCCATTTCCATTGGCATTTTAGAGCTGCGATACTCAATCTTTAACATGCAAGACAACTACCTGGGAATCTTGTTTAAAAGCAGATTCTCATTCAGCAGATCTGAGATTTGAGATCTGACCTTTCTTTTTTCTTTAGACAGGGTCTCCCTCTGTTGCCTAGTGGTGTGAGAACAGCTCACAACATCCTCCACCTCCCAGGTTCAAGTGATTGTCCCACCTCAGCCTCCTGAGTATCTGGGACCACCGGCATATGCCACCACGCCTGGCTAATTTTTTATTATTAAAGAGACTAGGTCTCACTATGTCGCCCAGGCTTGTCTCAGCTTCTAGGCTCAAGCAATCCTCCCTCCTCAGCTTCCCAAAGTGCTGGGATGCTAGGCGTGAGCCACTGTGACTGGCCAGATTTGGTCTTTCTAACAAGCTTCCTTATCCACGGACCACACTTTGAGTAGCTAGATTTTAGAACAGTTTATAGATTTGTACCCACAGCAGCCACCAGCCTAACCTGACCCTTTAGCCATCTGCCTAGGATAGAATTCACTGTGAAACACAGAGAAAGTGGAAACAGGATCGAGTTTCATCTGTGTGCTTGTCAATCAGTGGCACTGGGTTGCTCATTTCTCAGAGATAGCCCTGGGCTAGTCACTTACTGCTTCTCCCCAACCTTTCCTCATCTACTGTTAAAGAAAAAATTATTCACTGATACTTGTTAAAGCCCAGTAAGTAGACTTTATTCAGAACCACTGTTGTAAGTTTAGAGACCACAGCAATAAGATTTTGCAGGAGGGGAAAGAGCTTGGGCTCAAGTCCAAATACAGCATGGGCAAGTGAGAAATTATACCCAAGGAGCAGGGTAGAGGTCAGTGGATGGAAAATCACTAAGAGGAAAGCATGGGGAATTCTGAATAAACCAACCTAATACGATTCTTGCTGAAGATGGATCAGGTGATCAGATATTAACCAGATGATGGTAGAGGATGAAGAACCTCATTAGATATTGAGGGAGATCAGATATTGAGGGTAGGGGTTCTTGTTAAACCAACTTAGCAGGGTTCTTGCTAAAACTGGATTTTATAAGGAAGTGCACAGATGGGCCTAGGAAAAGATTCGGGAGCCCAACTAAAGTTTGGTCAAGCAAAGAATCTTTGTCACATAATGTGGGAATTATAATATTAACCCCTCAGGGCAAATACACACAGCTCATTTATCCCAAATTCAAGAATGATCGTTCAGTCAAGAAAAATGTTAAGAGGTTGGGTGCAGTGGCTCATGCCTGTAATCCGAGCACTTTAGGAGGCCGAGAAGGAAGGATCACTTGAGGCCAAGAGTTTGAGACTAGCCTGGGCAACATAGCAAGACCTCATCTCTACAAAAAATTTAAAAATTAATCAGGCATGGTGGTGTGTGCCTATAGTCCCAGCTACTCAGGAGACTGAGGTGGGAGTATTGTCACAGTTAGCCATGATCACAACACTGCAATTCACCCTGGGCTACAGAGACAGACCCTGTCCCTAAAACTTTTCTTACATAAAGAAGAAAAATGATAGAGGAGAGGCACTTGAATAAGGAAGAGTTAAGATTTGTTCTTAATCCCAGTACTTTGGGAGGCTGAGGCCAGCGGATCACGAGCTCAAGAGGTAGAGACCATCCTGGCCAACATGGGAGAACCCCGTCTCTACTAAAAATACAAAAATTAGCTGGGCATGATGGCATGTGCCCGTAATCCCAGCTACTCAGGAAGCTGAGGCAGGAGAATCAGTTGAACCCAGGAGGCAGAGGTTGCAGTGATCCAAGATCATGCCACCGCACTCCAGCCTGGCAACAGGCCGTCTCAAAAAAAAAAAAAGAAAGAGAGAGATTTGTTTTTAATCAGACCATGGGAAGACATGCTCCACCTGGGGAACAGTGTGTGCTAGCATTGACCTACATTAGCACTAGTCCTCTGAGCCACCCTCAAGATGAGTCTTATTGTCCCGTTGCACAGATACGGAGCGGGGGTGCAAGGGGGACACGCAACAGTGACATGCTGGAAGTGGCCCAGGTTCCGGACGACAGAACCACCACTCGAACTTGGCTTGACACTCCCCCCGGCCCTTCCCATCCTCCTGTAGAGTGACTTCAGGAGGAGATAATGATATCACTAGAAGAGAGGTAGAGGTTGACAGATGTCTCCAAAGGGAAAGTTAATTAGAAGTAAGGCTTTTTCTTCTCACTCAGCCCCAGGGACAGCTATGATACTGCTTATTTACACTTGACATGTTGACAGTGCCCAGCCATGTCAATAAGCTTACTTATTACTTTGAATCGAATGCTCCTGAGCACCACTGTTGAGTATTCAGCGCTGCCAAGTTCACCTTCTTCCCGTGATAAACACCTCCTTTTGTACCACCTCACATTATTATTCCGTATGCATTATTCAAAAATAAAAAAAAACTACTAAGATACGGCAATCGCAAATGATGGGAAGTTACTGAGTTACCAGGGCCACAACCGTACTCGTCTCCATCTCGGGCAGGCGCATCTGAGGCAGGCTCGGAGCATCTTCTACAACAGCCTGCTCCTTGGTCTCTCAGTTCATTCATTTCTCCTCTCTACTGCCACCCACAAGGAGCTTCCCCCCAGTGCTTGCTTGAATTCCCAAGGATTCTTGCTGGGTTTTCCTCCATGGTTTTTTTTTAAAACTTCCTTGGTCATGTCCATGGCAGACGGTTCAGGAACACACAGTGTTTTTAGAATCAAGCTGAGCATGCCCTTGCCTTTGCCCTGTCGTGGGTATGCCAGGGGGGGTGGCATTGTGTGCACCTGTGGGAAGTGATGGAAGAATTCCCAGGGAATTCTGGAAGCGTGGGGCCCACCTCATACGCGGCAAGTCTGTCAGGCACAAGCCAAGGCTGCAGGAGAAGGTTTGCAAGCAGAGAGGCCCCAGGCCTGTGTGGGTAAAGGCAGCCCCAGCTCAGTAAAATTCTCCATCCCAGGAGGAGCCTGAAGGAGTCAGTTTTTGCCACAGAGCCAAAATTGGGAAGAACAACAAAAGTAATGTGTAGAGATCACAAAGAACATCCCATCTCTGTCCCCAAAGGCATAAGAAGGACACAAAATCAGTCTAGGGCCAACCTGGCAGGGTTCCCAGGCTCTCCGGAGGGGCTAGCTGGAAAGGGCTGGTGTCATCAGAAGCTAAGCCAATCGGCCACCATCATTTTCCTGGGGGCCCAATTATCATGCCAGAGCCACTTCCTCCGAGTTCTTCTCTCAGAATCACCTTCCCAGGAGTATGGAAGAGAGGCCCAAGTTGTACTGATCAGTTCCACAACTCAGCTTGCACCCCAGCTCCCTGGAGGCTCCAAGCTACTCTTCTGGCCCGGAAAGTCACCAGGCAGCCGCTGACCTCTGTAGGAACAAGGGCATTCACTGTCTCTGGAAGACGTTCTCCATCCAGCTCACTGGCTCGGGGATTCATCTCTTATGCTCTGATTAGTAATAATGAATCATATGCGATTCTAGAAATTGGCAAATTTTGACAAGCCTGGTGGAAGACAGATATATTTCTTGACATTTCCAAGTGAAAATCACACTCGGAATAAGTCTCCCTCAGAACAAAATCTAAAGTCCTTCCCATAGCCTACAAGGTCCTTTGAAAGCTGGCCCCAGCCCACCAGCTGCCCACCTACTCCTCCCTCCCTCACCCGCCCCTGACTCCTCTCTGACCTCCCCTCAGGATGTGCAACTTCATGCCTACTCTACTGCGGGCATACCATAGGGTTCCCCCGGCCACGTGTCAAACACGCCTCTCCCACACTCACCTCAGGGCTTTTGCACCTCCTCGTCCTCTGCTGGAATGTGGCCTTCTGCCTGTGCATTCCTCACTTCACTCAGGACTCATTCAAAGACCACTTTGTCAGACTGACCCTCACCAGCCACCAGGAACACATGCTTGCTTTCTTAAGTCAGCCACTGAAACTGACCCTCGTTCCTATTAGTACCCCCAAGTTGAATTTTACGTCATGTGATTAACCTATTTAATATCTCATTGATGATGTATGCATGTTTTGGAAGGGCAAAGGTAAATACCATCAATCTATTTCTATTCTTTTTACATTTTTTATGTTTTTGGTTTTCTTTCCACATGCCCTTCCTTTTGATGCTCCTTCCAAAACTGAAAGTCATGGAGTTTGCTTCTAAAGAGAACTTTTGGGCTGGTATAACAGATGAGTCCATTGACAAGCTGGAAGCGGAGGACTTAGATGAACACGTAAGTTGGATAAAACCTTGAGACCCGGCCCCCGCTCCAAATGTTAGAGCAGGGTGGCCCATGCCCAGCCCAGGCAAGCTGGCTGAGGTCTTGGGATCTGAGGACCTGGGTTTTTTTTTTTTGTCTCATATACCCCAGACTGGGTGTTAAAGACAGCAACCCAGAAACTCCAACAAGCGTAGACAGAAAAACCCCAAGGAAAGCCTACTCCCTCTATGTAGATGGGGCAACCTGGCAAGACAAAAACTCCAGATGCTAACCTCTCTACTCCAGGCAGGCACCACAGCAAATAGCAGTGGTGTTTCTCTCCCATCTTTGCAGGCCTGTGACCATGACCACCCTGCAGAGAGACATAGAACCAGCCCTGGAAATTCAACAGGGTGCTCTCCCCAGCTGTTCCCAATCACCAGAGGGGAGATGGGGGAGTCATCATGGTTTCAATAAGCCTTACATCCACTGGATGTTTTCTTGTCTTTAAGACAAAATTTGTTATAATTTTGTAAATATGCCACATGAATGTTTTGCCTACGGGGGGCAGCCTAGCGGCTCGAATTTCCTGCCTCAGCTTCCTCTAGGGCTGGCACTCCATGCTGATTCTGAGGGAAGCATTATTATGCATCCTGTCCTCGACTGCTAAGATTTCTCCGATTGTAGGTGCTGACTACAATCCTAAAAATGAAATCTTGTGTCTCTGGAACCCAAAGTTAAGCAGATATGTTTTCCTAAATTTATAAAAGAAAAGGCAAAAAACTAAATATTTCATTGTTAAAATGTTTTTAATTGAGAAATTTTCTGGTCTCAGTTCATATTTAGCCCTAAATTCTATACTTGCCTCTATAAAGCACCATATTACTAAGATTTACTGAAATACTACAATGAAGGGAGAAAAAAAAATGACATAAATTTAGATTTACTGCTTTGGATTTACAAAGGCAGGAAAGTAAACTCAGGCATTTTGGAAAGATTTTTCAACTAGAGTTGAAACCTGAAGGAATTGTTTTAATTAGACACAAATTGTTCAGAAAACTTCAAGGCTCCTGTCCATTGATGTTTAGCTATATCAGGTGGCACTGAATTCTCAGGTGACAGACACATCTCCGTGTGTGTTCTGGAAGGACATAGCAGATCTGGGAGCATTCCAGAGTTTTCCTTGGGACAGGTGGGCTGAGCAGGGGAGCTCTCATCACAAGCACTGTGACATTCCAGGACTTTGCTACTGAAGGATTTTAGGCAAGAATGTGACACAATCAGACTTGTTTTTAATTTCTGTCAGTATTTTGATTCAAACTCCCTAAACTATCTAGCTTTTACATTGAGAAGCTACCATGTGCACACCATTTTAAAATATTGAAGTAGTAAAGAAGGCTATGAAATAAATGTTTCAAGCCTCTACTTCCTTACTTTAATAAAATAACTGCTGTATACTGCTCTTTATGTATCCTGGAAATTTTAAAGCATATATACATACATATAGATGTCTTTTAAAACACACGCATATCCACAAATGGAATCATGATGTACGTTCTGTTCTATAACTTACTTTTCCCTTAATAACATATTTCGGAAGCTTTGGTATTCCATTACATCTTGTACCATAATTTAACTAGCGCCCTGTCAATGGATGTCTAACTTGTTTCCAGTCTTGTCTTTTGTGTGTGTGTGTGTGTGTATGTATATGTGTGTACATATAAATATATATATATTTTCAATGCAATGAATTGTACATATATCATTACATACAAATGCAAGTGTATGTAAAGAATAAATTTCTAGCAGTTGATGCTGGAACCAGAACTATCTGCATCTTTAACTCAAAAAGCATTGACAAATTTCCCCACCATTAAGTTGCACCATTTTCCTATTCCCACCTAGAGGGCATGAGAAGGCCTCCATCATATCCTCGACCACCAAGGGACATAATTCTGGCCCATCTGATAGGGTGAAAATAGCATCTCATTGTTGGTTTTTGCATCTCCTCCGTTAAGAAAGGTGCTAGGCATTTTCACAATTATTGGACATTTGTGTCTCTCTGTGAGCGGCCAGTTGGTGTTGTCTTCTCTTCTACCAAGTTGCTTATTTCTCTTTCTTTCTGATTTGTGAGGGCTTTTAATATATGAAAGAACTTAATTCTTTTTCTGACATACATGTAAATTTGTTTCCAGTTTGTATTTTGTTTTCCAACCTTCTTGGTATTGTCCACGACAGGGTCATTTTTTATGTGCAGGTAGTCGCATGTATCAATATTTTCTTTTCTGATTACTAAGTATTGTTTCATGTGTAGAGAGGTCTTTTCACTCCTCAAAATAATTTTTATAATTAATTTATGTGCTCCTCTAGCTATCTAAGGGATCTCTTTAAAACTATGTGGAATTTATTTGGGGGAAACAATATGGCATAGGAGATCTAGCCAAAGCCCCCAACAATACTGAGTCCTTTCTCCACGGACAGGGTCAAATTTCCTTTTTTAAAGGTCACTCTGGTAGCTTTGTGGATGGTGAATTGGAGGGGAGAGGCTGAGGGCAGGAAGATTAGTAATATGTAGCAGATGAACACATGGGAAAGCCTGGCAGCTCAGGGCAGTGCCCAGCACAGCTGCCATGACATGGTACAGATTTCTACTCTATAGGCTGGAAAGCTGAAGAGGAGAAGAAGGGTATATTTGTGGGGTAAGATAGAAAATTCTATTTGGTACACACTGAGTGTTAAGTTCCTATAAGATATCCAGATAAAGTTCAATTGAAAACCAGAAATACACAATCTAGGTCCTGGGAGAAAGCTCTTGGCTAAAGATTTTTATTTGGAATCTGTATTCATTTGCTAAGGCCTATTGTTAACAAAGTGCCACCTTTGAGTGACTTGAACAACAAAATTTACTATCTCATAGTTCTGGAGACTTTAAATCTGAAATCAAGGTGTCAGCAGAGTTCGTTCCTTGTGAGGGCTGTGAGGGAAGGATCTGGCCCTTGTGAGGGCTGTGAGGGAAGGATCTGGCCCTTGTGAGGGCTGTGAGGGAAGGATCTGGCCCTTGTGAGGGCTGTGAGGGAAGGATCTGACCCTTGTGAGGGCTGTGAGGGAAGGATCTGGCCCAGGTCTCTCTCCGTGACTTGTAGATGGCCATCTTCTCCTACGTCTATTCACCCCATTCTCCCTCCATGCATGTCTCTATGTCCACATTTCCCCTTGCTGTAAAGACACCAGTCATACTGGATTAGAGCCCACCCTAAGGACCTCTTTTCAACTTGAGTACCTCTGTGAAGAACCTATCTCCAAACGATCACAGTCTAAGGTATTGAACTTCAACATACGAATTTGGGTGGCAGGGAAGTGGGGAAACACAATTCAACCATAATAGAATCCTTAGCATACAGCTGAAGCCTTAGATGGGGAGAGGATCACAAGGCATTTTTTTGTATGACTACTGCAGGTAGACAAAACCCCGTGTCCCCCAGCTCATACAAGCATTCCTTACACATGAGCCTAGGAGCTTTCTTGGTTTGCAGTTAGTGTGGAGAATAGTTTTTGGTAAGCAAGGAAGAATCCAAAAAAAAAAATGGTTGGAGGGAATGATACCATATCTCCTTATCCAAATGCCATAGATGGAAATAAGACCCCTACGATTAGGGTGTAAAGATTAATGTGTGAAGTCACTTACGAAAACTAGTCATGGTACACCTTGTGAAACTCTAGACACAGCAGTGCTACTCCAGAGTCCCGGTGAAAAAGTATGTCCCAGGGCTGAGGAGTCCTTTCCCCCTGGTCTCTGTGCCACTCTCTTCCCCAAGGATTGAATGCTCAGGGTGCTGTGGCAGCACGTGTGGCACAGACACTGCATTCCCAGGATAGGCAGTGATGCAGCTTGGCAAAGCAGCACATCTGCAAGCAACATGGTAGGTGATAGATACGGACAAGTGGGTCAGAGCAGGAGGAGAAGAATGGAGTGAATGCCATATGGAACCTGCAGCTGCAATGGGGCGAATGCCACGCGGAACCTGTGGCTGCAGTGGGACGAATGCCACACAGAATCTGCAGCTGCAAGACTTGTTTAAGTAAACTTCTGAGGCACATTTTGAGAGACTACCAGAAACCAGAGGGGTACAAACTGGGGAGAGGAAGCTAAAGCCCTCCTATTTGGAGGGGTCCATCAACCTATAGTTCAGTTATTCTGACAACTTGATTCATTTGCTGTTTTTAATTTACTATCACATGCTTGATTTGTTTTTTTTTTTATAGAGGCAGGATCTCACTATGTTGCCCAGGCTGGTCTCGAACTCCTGGGCTCAAGTGATCCACTCGCCTCAGCCTCCCAAAGTACTGGGATTACGGGTGTGAGCCACCATGCCCAGCCTTCATTTTTTATTTCAATGACATACTTATGCATCATAACCCTTGCGGTGAAAATTCTTTTGGCTCCAAGAACCAGATATTAACCCAGGAGAAGTCTCTGGGCTTGGGAGACCTCATCACTGAGGTGCCAAATACACCTACCACGATGATGGGGATGGTTCCATTCTGTAGGCTAGGCAAGCAAATGGAGTAAACCCCGTAAGATGTCACATATGCTGGTTTCATAGAGTGGGGTGGCACAGTCTAGAGTACAACCCACCCAGGTGGTCGGCCATCCAGCAGACCACAACAGATGCTATTTTCTGAAGAACAGAACATAAAATGCAAACCGAATGGGGATAGATCACTGGCCTAGGTGAACAGAAAGTCACTTCATGCCAAAGGAGGGATTGTCAACAATGAGGAATTTAGAGGCAGGAATATGGGCAGCAAAGGTCTTCACCCCAACCTGTCCTGAAGCACTGACTCAAGAAATAGAGAGAGACAGGGCTCAGAGGCTAAGAATCAGGCAAGCCAGACCTAAAGCACCCCAGCTTTCCCCCAACCTAGAAACACTGGCCAGCCATAAGCCATATCCTTGCATCTGTCCCAGATCATGTGCAACTTCGGATATGTTGGTCTTTCACTTGCTGTAGGAAGCTAGTGAGTTAATGGTATATTCTCCATGATCACACATTGAACAGCAATCTCAGCCTGTTGGTGAGCAAATAGGCAATCCTATTTGATTAGACCAATCCCTGGCTGTCCTCTCTAAGGAGCCTGCTTCACTTTCCATCAAAAGAGATCCAAAACAGAAACTCCGGTGAGGACCCACCTATGGGTCGATCCTGGTCAGCAGCACAGACATGGGAAAGAATGATCCAACTGGCCAAATAAAAAGACAGCTTGTGGACAAGTGCTGTGGCACACACCTGTAGTCCCAGCATTTTGGGAGACGGAGGCAGGCAGATCACTTGAGGCCAGGAGTTCAAGACCAGCCTGGCCAATATGGTGAAATCCCATCTCTACTAAAGATACAAAAATTAGCTGGGCATGGTGGCACATGCCTGTAATCCCAGCTATTCAGGAGGCTGAGGCATGAGAATCACTTGAACCCGGGAGGCGGAGGTTGCAGTGAGCCTAGATTGTGGCACTGCACTCCAGCCTAGGTGACAGACTGAAACTCCATCTTAAAAAAAAAAAAAAAAAACAGGCAGCTTGTAATGTCATTACTTTGGAAGAATCTTTAAAAGCAGAACTGCCTAATGCAGTGATGCACGAGGCGCTATGCTACTTTTCTGAAGACTCATCCTTCACATTGAATAAATAAATCACCACTGGGAGCTTGGCCATTTGTAGAATGCAGAAAACCTGTTATGCTCTTAAAGCATGGAAGCATTTTTACATTCCATAGCCATCTCCACATTTGGAAAAAGAAGATAATTGTATGTTCTCCAAAGATTTTTTGGCATACTGATGTTTAAAAATTTTTTTAAGGAAATTGAGGAACAAGAAGACGGTATGATAATGGAAATACTCTTTAAAAGAATTCTTGCTAACCATCCTATGGGTCCCGTTTTCTTTTTCCTTTTATTTTTTTATCTTCAACTTTTAAATTCAGGGTGCAGGATGTGCAAGTTTGTTACATAGGTAAACGTGTGCCATGGTGGTTTGCTGCACAGATCAGCCCATCACCTAGGTATTAAGCCCAGCAGCCATTAGCTATCCTTTCTGTTGCCCTCCCTCCCCCTTCCCCTGGTTCCCATTTTTGTGTTTTTAGAATAATATGTTGAAGTGTCACACAGTACCTTTGGGAGTCAGAAACGTGATTAACTAATAAATCGTTAATTTCCATTTTCCGAATATTTCATTCTTTGATCCTTTTATAGTTTTTGAACAGCTCCTATCAGACAGTATTTAAAACAATAATCAAAGAAATGGCTGCTCGCAATGAACTGGAAGAGGATTTTGACATTCCCCTAACTAGGCTACTGGAAAGTGAAAACAGATGGAAACTGTTAATTATGTAAGTAACTGGTAAGGCCAAGTGATAGGTCAGTGGATTTGGGTATGCCAGAGGTGGCAGCAGGGAAAATGTAAATTGAGCCATCAACAAAAAGAGCAAAGTCAGGACCAGACAGGTTCCCTGAGTCAAGGACCAGGAACAGGTCAACCACAGGGAAAGGGTAAGATCCAGGGGTCAAATGTGCAGAATGATCCAGCTGCTAGACCAAAATCAAACTCAAGAGCAAGGACATTGCAAGCATGGGAGGTACAGGATAAGATCAAGGCAGATGGTGACAGAGGCTGGATATTCAGGGCAAGAAAAGGCTTGCAGGGACCATGAATTTGTACAGAAGTCTAGGAAACAAAGTTCAGACCCCTGGCACTTAAGGAGAAGACATTGGGGAGTCACCTGGGGCAACCGCCCACCAAATTCCCTGGCTTCACACTAGCTGAGCTAATGCTTTTCCATGCATCTTGAAGAAGGGAGAGCCTTGAGCTTCACTAACCTGGGGTTACGGCCAGGGCCCCTTTAAGGTTATTGTAGACCTGTGTCACTGGCACCAGGTCTTTCTAGCTGGCAAGGCCCCAGATCACAAAATGTTCCAGCCATTTGTACACTGTATTAGTTCATTTTCATGCTGCTGATAAAGACCCAAGATTGGGCAATTTACAAAAGAAAGATATTTAATGGACTTACAGTTTCATGTGACTGAAGAGGCCTCACAATCATGGCAGAAGGTGAAAGGCACATCTTACATGGTGGCAGACAAGTGAAGACAGCTTTTTCAGGGAAACTGCCCCTTATGATAACCATCAGATCTCATGAGACTGACTTACTATTACGAGAACAGAATGGGAAAAGCCTGTCCCCATGATTCAATTACCTCCCACTGGGTCCCTCTCGCAACACATGGGAATTCAAGATGAGATTTGGGTGGGAACACAGCCAAACCATATCATCCCACTACCAGCCCTTCTCAATCTCATATCCTCACATTTCAAAAACCAATCATGCATTCCCAACAGTCCCCCAAAGTCTTAACTCATTTCAGCATTAACTCAAAAGTTTACAGTCCAAAGTCTCATCTGAGATAAGGCAAGTCCCTTCTGCCTATGAGCCTGTAAAATCAAAAGCAAGTTAGTTACTTCCTAGATACAATGGGGGTACAGGCATTGGATAAATACAGCTGTTCTAACTGGGAGAAATTGGCCAAAATGAAGGGGCTACAGGCCCCAGGCAAGTCCAAAATCCAATAGGGCAGTCATTAAACCTTAAAGTTCCAAAATAATCTCCTTTAGCTCCATGTCTCACATCCAGGTCACACTAATGCAAGAGGTGGGTTCCCATGGTCTTGGGCAACTCTGCCCCTGTGACTTTGCAGGGTATAGCCTCCCTCCCAGCTGCTTTTACGGGCTGGCATTGAGTGTCGGAGGCTTTTCCAAATGCACAGTGCAAGCTGTCAGTAGTGCTCCACTAGGTGGTGCCCCATTAGGGACTCTGTGTGGAGGATCTGACCCCACATTTTCCATCTGCACCGCATTAGCAGAGATTCTCCATAAGGACCCCACCTCTATAGCAAACTTCTGTCTAGGCATCCAGAAGTTTCCATACATCCTCTGAAATCTAGGCAGAGGTTCCCAAACCCCAATTCTTCACTTCTGTGCACTCACAGGCTCAACACCATGTGGTAGCTGTCCAGGCTTGGGGTTTGCACCCTCTGAAGCCATGGCCCAAGCTCTATGTTGGCCCCTTTCAGCCATGGCTGGAGCAGCTGGTATGCAAGGCACCAAGTCCCTAGGCTGCACACAACATGGGGACCCTGGGCCTGGCCCATGAAACCATTTTTTCCTCCTAGGCCTTCAGGCCTGTGATGAGAGGGGCTGCTGTGAAGACCTTTGACACCCTGGAGACATTTTCCCCATTGTCTTGGGGATTAACATTCGGCTTCTTGTTACTTATGCAAATTTCTGCAGCTGGCTGGAATTTCTTCTCAGAAAATAGAATTTTCTTTTCTATTGCATTGTCAGACTGCAAATTTTCTGAACTTTTATGCTCTGCTTCCCTTAGTAAACTGAATGCCTTTAACAGCACCTAAGTCACCTCTTGAGCTTTGCTTCTTAGAAATTTCTTCCACCAGCTACCCTAAATCATCCCCCTCAAGTTCAAAGTTTCACAGATCTCTGGGGCACAGGCAAAATGCTGCCAATATCTTTGCTAAAACATAAAAGGGTCACCTTTGCTCCAGTTCCCAACAAGTTCCTCATTTCCATCTGAGACCACCTCAGCCTGGACTTTTTTGTCAGCATTGTGGGCAAAGTCATTCGACAAGTCTCTAGGAAGTTCCAAACTTTCCCACATTTTCCTGTCTTCTTCTGAGGCCTCCAAACTGTTCCAACTCCTGCCTGTTACCTAGTTCCAAAGTCATTTCCACATTTTCAGGTATCTTTGAGCAGCACCCCACTCTACTGGTACCAATTTACTGTATTAGTCTGTTTTCACACTGCTGATAAAGACATGCCCAAGACTGGGTAATTTACAAAAGAAAGAGATTTAATGGACTTACAGTTCCACATGGCTGGGGAGGGCTCAGAATCATGGTGGAAAGTGAAAAGCACATCTCACATGGTGGCAGACAAGAGAAGAGAGCTTGTACAGGGAAATTCAATAACAGTCAGATCTCATGAGACTTTTTCACTATCACAAGAACAGCATAGAAAAGATGCCCCCATGGTTCAGTTACCTCCCACTGGGTTCCTTTCACCACACATGGGAATTCAAGATAAGATTTGGGTGGGGACACAGCCAAATTATATCATACATACACCCAGCCTGTGGTGCAGGCATGCTCTCAGCATGGAAGCCTGCTCTTTCCTTTATCCACTGTCAGAAACCTGGAGAGCCAGGTATGTGTTTGTGCCCCCATGGGTCTGTTGCAGACTGTCCAGCAGTGGCACCAGGGACAGGCTGTGTGAAACAAGGTGCCCTACCTATCACGTGGGCAAGTTCAGGTGTTCACAAAAGTCAGGAAGAGATTGACTACCAGCAACTTCCACTATGGACTCAGTAGAGGCATGGGGCAAGAGATCCCCAAGGCTTCTCTGGGAAATGGGAAGGCAAAAACACAAAGAACTCCCAAGCTTTTGGATCAGCAAAAACAAACGCCAAATAATATCTCTACACATTATCCCACTGCCTCTGTGCCATTTCCTCCCTCTCTTCCCATTTATGCCTGTGTCAAAGGCTGATTCTAACCTGTTGCTTTCAACAGATACTTCATGTGCACCTATTATATGCTAATCTAGGCCCTAGGGATATAGTAGAGTGTACCCCAGTCTCTGGTATTGAAGAGCCAGCTGATGGGGATTCCACTCGCTTGGAAAGGTGGGCAAAAAAACAAGAGAGGAACAGCCAGTCTTCCCAAAAGGGCTTTGGGTGCCTCTGGCTAGATCCCCTCACTGGAGTTTAACTCTTATCTGTGTTTGGAATCTTGTTCTGAGCCTAAAGGATAGGCCCCCACTCCACCCATTTCTTGGTCCTTATTTTTTCACAGATGCCAATAGGCTAGGTAACTGCTTCAATTCCATTAAAAGTCCTTGCATTATAAATGAACAACATTTGGTACAAATGGGCCATGGACTCATTCTCAAATTTCCCTATTGCTTCTAGGGTACGAATAAGGGAACTATTGCTCTGTGCTAGGTAACAGTGCAGCCATTTCCAGCAGAGGATGTTTGCTTCCTGGAGTTACTCTGGGCTAAATTAGTATGCCCTCTTCAAGGAAACTGATCTAAGGATTTAAAATCTGCAATGGCAAAGGCCTCCTTTTCAGATCCAATTAAGCCTGGGAAGCTCAGTCCTTCTGGCACATTTCCTTTCAAAGGGACTCTGATCTAAGAACTAGAAAACACAGCTGCTCTGGAGAGCACCCTTATTTGGAAGGAAAACAGTCCACGCCACTGAAATGCCAGGATGACTCACTCTGTGTGTTGACATGAGAGGGAGAAAAGGGCTTGATCACATTGAAGAGCTGTGACTTGTGTGGCTTTCATGATAAGTCCTTTTGAGTAAGGCTATTTGAAAGTGTCCTACTAATGCAAAGGGGTTTCAGATGGTTCTGGGTTTCACTGGAATACAGACAAGCTGCAGAAAATCAAATCCAGCTGTGTGAGTTAACTCACAGGGCCATACTTGCATTTGGACCTCCCTTCCCTGTCAGCGGCCCCCAAGGTTCCCCTCGTTGAATTTGTTTCGAAGGGTTCAGGGTTCAGCCTCATGCTCTGGGTGTGGGTCAGACCACAAGGGAAGCACTAAGTGGATATCAGGCACCATCCCTTTGCTCCTGGGCATTGACTCGAAGAAAACTGGCCTAGAAAGCAAAGCCATTGTCCCCATTTCCACCTGCGCAAGAGACTCCACAGATTTCAGTACTGTTTGCACTGTGTGTAATGGCGTGTATGTGTGAATTTAGTCTTGGCTTTTAAAGATGATGCACTTTACTTTTAGGTTGAAGAAAAATTACGAAAAGTTCAAGGAAACAATCTTATGGATTAAGAGGAGACGTGAAGGTAGGCACCACTCCACCATTTTCCACCAGGTGCTGGCTCTCCTGTCTGCGTCCCACCACCTCTCCCCTTCTGCTGTACTGTAAAGAAGGTGGAAGGGCTCATCCACTCACTTCAGTGCTCACAGGGCTAATGTGCTCCTGGCTGCCAGGGATGAAATACTGAGCATGACAGACAGAGTCTAGGGCCCCAGTGAGTTTCTCTCTTGGTGGCAGGGTCAGGTGGGGGATCCGAACACAGAGCGAGTCACCTTGGCATTTCAGTGGTGTGGACTGTCTTACTTCCCAAAAAGGATGCTCTCCAGGGCAGCTGTGTTTTCTGGTTCTCAGATCAGAGCTCCTTTGAAAGAGAATGCTCCAGAAAGAGTGAGCTTCTCAGGCTTCATTGGTCTATTCTTGGAAGGATAGACAAGAAAGTAGGGAATTACCATATAGAATGGTTAGGCCCTATGATGGGAAGGCGACACTGTGGGACCACACAGTAAGGGATCTAACATATATTTGGGGGAGTGGGGTACTCCAGGAAAGGAATATTAGTGCAAAAATTGGAAAACAAATAGCTCCTTTACCAAGAGACTAAAGGCATTTGGTGTGCAGTTACTAAGATTTACAAATCATGGAAGTTATCAGCTTCATGGATCTAATCATGGAAGGCTTCAGTGAAGGGACTAAGCTAGCTTCATTCAAAACTACAACATGGAATATCTTCCAGGTAACTGGACCCAATTAACACGAAAATGACAGCCATATTCATGGGAGACATAGCTAATCAATCATGGTACTTTTCCTTGCTGAGCCTTGTCTCAGCCTGATTCCCTCTCAATAGAGTACTTTTACCCCAGTACCAATTCATGCCCCTGACCTAACTCTTAAGGAATAGCTGCTGCGGGCCCTGCCTGCCTCTCCTGAATCCTGTGTCACCACTAACCCATCCCCACTCCAGCTTCCAACCATACAGTGTTTATGCTGGAATTCCTCCGTTGCTTGCTATAGATTTACCTTCCACTGGTAAATGGAAATTTTACCATTTACCACTGGAGGTGGAAATCTTCTCAGCTTCAAAGCCCGGTTAAGTTCCCTCCCATGAGCTCTCATGGAAGCCTGTATTGACCTCAATGGCGGGACACACAGCACTCTCCTAACTGACCTTCCCATTAAGCAGAGAGCTGGGGCTCCTCACTCCCACCAAGAACATGTTGGCTGATAACACAGCTAGAAGCCCCTCACCACAGCTCCAACCACTCAGCTCCCACTGTTGTGTTAAGCACTTATCAAAAGACACTAGGTTTAGTTTTCAGTTATTCTTACTAGTTTAGTTCCAAAATTCAATTGTCATAAAAATGGACAAAATGAATATAAAAAGAAACTTGTTGCTAAGAAATGAAAACTAAGTTGAATGCTTTAAAAAACAAAACTCAGCCGGGCGCGGTGGCTCACGCCTGTAATCGCAGCACTTTGGGAGGCTGAGGCGGGCGGATCACAAGGTCAGGAGATCGAGACCATCCTGGCTAACACGGTGAAACCCCGTCTCTACTGAAAATACAAAAAATTAGTCGGGCGTGGTGGCGGGCGCCTGTAGTCCCAGCTATTTGGGAGACTGAGGCAGGAGAATGGTGTGAACCCGGGAGGCGGAGCTTGCAGTGAGCAGAGATCAGGCCACTGCACTCCAGCCTGGGGAACAGAGCGAGACTCCATCTCAAAAAAAAAAAAACTCAGCCAGGTGTGGTACCTCATGCCCATAATCCCAACACTTTGGGCAGCTGAGACAGTATAATCCTTTGAGGCCAGGAGTTTGAGACCAGCCTGGCCAACATGGCAAAACCTCGTCTCTACATTAGCCAGGTGTAGTGGCACACACCTGTAATCCCAGCTGAGGCACAAGAATTGCTTGAACCCAGGAGGCAGAGGTTGCAGCGAGCCAAGATCTTGCCACTGCACTCCAGCCTGGGCAACAGAGCAACATTCTGTCTCAGTCAATCAGTCAATCAATTATTGGTGTGATTTGAGCAAAAATGATCACAGAGCCCATTCATCAGACCTGTACTTTGTCTTACCTTTGAAATGACATGTTAATATACATTTCCGTTTTACCTTTTTTTGATGACTTCCTGACTTTCACCTGTTTTTTCAATTAGCAGCCACACCATTCGCTGGGTGAGTGCTCCTCTCATTACGTTGTAGTTGGCATATGACTGCGTCACCCACTCATACCCCCACATCTGTACAGGTTGACTGTCACTGCCATATCAGGCATCCAGCACTGGGCTGACATGCACTAGGCACTTGATAAGTACATGTTGAGTGAATGTGTGACCAAACAGAGTGAGCTGGAATGTCAGCCCCAACATTTCTCTCTTCAAAGGCCTTAATCTTCCCACTACCCGACAGCCTTCCTTACTGGGGAAAAATGGCAGATCTCCCAAACCCTCAAACTCCCTTTGATACCTTGAGAGAGACAGATCTAAGTTTCCTTTCTCTTTCCCACCAAAATCTTATTCGATGCAATCATTGAATTGAATGGCAGCTCAAAAGGTAACAGAGATGACCACTTTCACATTTCGTTTAATGACCGAACCAACACCTGAGAAGCATGAGACAAAAAAAGTCCAAAAGCCTCAACGTGTTGTTCGTCGTAGGAAGAAATTAGAACGAGATAAGGAATGGATACAGAAGAAGACAGTGGTAAGAGGGGCAGTACATTGCTGTTTTTCACTTTGCACAGGATTTTTTTGGCTCCGGTGAGGTGTGCACACACCATCAGAGACTTGTAAGGAACAACACACAATGTAAACACAAAAATGCATCCAAGATATCAGAAGTACACCTGAGTATGTAGGTTGTTGGCAGACTGACTAGGAATTTTACTAGGATTTATTGAGAGTCTTCTGCCTGCAGGGTCTCTATTAGGCAATTGAACGGGTTTGAGGGTAGAATAAAGGAAATGTATATTATATAGGCCCCAGCCAGACACTGCGGCATACATCTGTAGTCCCAGCTGCTTAGGAGGGTGAGAAGGGGGATCACTTGAGCCCAGGAGTTTGAGGCTGCTGTGTGCTATGATCACACCTGTAAATAGCCACTGTACCCTAGTAACCTAGGCAACATAGCAAGACCCTGCCTCTAAAAAGAAAAATATATATATAGACCCATCCCCCTAACAAATTAGAATCCATATCAAAAATCAGTCACATGGTGAATGGATAAATCAGCTGTGGTACATTCATACAATTAAATATTATTCAGCACTAAAAAGAAATGAGCTATTAAGCCATGAAAAGACATGGAGGAAACTTAAACACATTTTACCAGGTGAAAGAAACCAATCTGAAACGGTTACATATTATGATACCTACTATATGACATTCTGGAAAAGATAAAGCTATGGAGACAGTAAAAAGATCAGCGGTTGCTAGGGGATGGGGGCAAGAAAGGATGAGAAGATGAAACTTGGGAGTTTTAGGGCAGTTAAACTCTTCCGTATGATTCCACAATGTTGGATACACGTCATTGTACATTTGTCCAAATCCACAGAATGTGCAACATCAAGAGAGAACCCTAGTGTAAACTCTGGGCTGTGGGTGATAATGGTGTGTCAGTGTAGGTTCACGAATTATAACAAATGTACCACTCTCTGGTGGGGGTGGTGTTGATGGTTGGGGAGGCTGTGCATATATGGGAAACTGTACTTTCCACTCAATTTTTCCATGACCTGCTCTAAAAAATGAAGCCTATAAAAAAATCTATCACATGGTAGTATTTATAAAGACTGATACTATTATACAAAGATCTGAGTGAAAACTAGTCTCAAAATATTAGAGTCATTCATTCCATGCAAATGAACACCAAAAGCAAGCAGGAGTAGCTATTCTTATGTCAGACAAAATAAACTTTAAAGCAATAGCAGTTTAGAAAGACAAAGAGGGAGATTATATAATGATAAAAGGCCTTGTCCAACAGGAAAATATCACAATCCTAAATATATATGCAGCTAACATTGGAGCTCCCAAATGTATCAAACAATTACTACTGGACCTAAGAAATGAGATAGACACCAACACAATAATAGTGGGGGCTTCAATACTCCACTGACAGCACTAGACAGGTCATCAAGACAAAAAGTCAACAAAGAAACAATGGATTTAAACTATACCTTGGAACAAATGGACTTAACAGATATTTACAGAACATTCTACCCAACAACTGCAGAATATACTTTCTTTTCATCAGTGCATGGAACTTTCTCCAAGATGGACTATGTGATAGGCCACAAAACAAGTCTCAATAAATTTAAGAAAATTGAAATTATATAAGCACTCTTTCAGACCACAGTGGAATAAAACTGGAAATCAACTCCAAAAGGAATACTCAAAACCATGCAAATACGTGGAAATTAAATAACCTGCTCCTGAATGATTATTGGGTCAACAATGAAATCATGATGGAAATTTAAAAATTTTTAGAACTGAACGACAACAGTGACACAACCTATCAAAACCTCTGGGATACAGCAAAGGCGGCTAAGAGGAAAGTTTGTAGCCCTAAATGCCTACATCAAAAAGTCTGAAAGAGCACAAATAGACAATCTAAGGTCACACCTCAAGGAACTAGAGAAGCAAGAACACACCAAACTCAAACCAAGCAGAAGAAAAGAAATAACCAAGATCAGAGCAGAGCTGAATGAAATTGAAACAAACAAAAAGAAAAAAGAAAAATGAAACAAAAAGTTGGTTCTTTGAAAAGATAAATAAAATTGATAGACCATCAGCAAGATTAACCAAGAAAAGAAGAGAGAAAATCCAAATAAATTCAATTAGAAACAAAAGGGGAGATATTACAACTGACACCACAGAAATACAGATCATTCAAGGCTACTATGAACACCTTTACATGTATAAACTAGAAGACCTAGAGGAGACAGACAAATTCCTGGAAATATACAATCCTCCTAGCTTAAATCAGGAAGAATTAGATACCCTGAACAGACCAATAACGAGCAGTGAGATTGAAATGATAATTTTAAAAATTACCAACAAAAACATTCTACCAGACATTCAAAGAAGAGTTGGTACCAATCCTACTGACACTATTCCACAGGGAGAAAAAGAGGGAATCCTCCCTTAATCATTCTGTGAAGCCAGTGTCACCCTAATACCAAAGCCAGGAAAGGACATACCAAAAAAAGAAAACTACAGACCAATATCCCTGGTGAACATAGATGTAAAAATCCTTAACAAAATATTAACTAACCAAATCCAACAACATATCAAAAAGATAATCCACCATGATCAAGTGGGTTTCATACCAAGGATGCAGGAATGGTTTACCATACCCACATCAATAAATGTGATTCACAACCATAAATGAATTAAAAACAACAATCACATGATCATCTCAATAGACACAGAAAAAGCACTCAACAAAATCCAGAATCCCTTTATAATTAAAACTCTCAGCAAAATCGGCATACCAGGGACATACCTCAATATGATAAAAGCCATCTATGACAAACCCACAGCCAACATAATACTGAATGCGGAAAAGTTGAAAGCATTCCCTCTGAGAACTGGAACAAGACAAGGATGCCCACTCTCACCACTTCTCTTCAACATAGTACTGGAAGGCCTAGCCAAAGCAATCAGGCAAGAGAAAGAAAGGGCACCCAAATTGGTAAACAGGAAGTCAAACTGTCACTGTTTGCTGATGATACGATTGTATGCCTAGAAAACCCTAAAGACTCCTCCAGAAAGCTCCTAGAACTGATAAAATAATTCAGCAAAGTTTCCAGATACGAAACTAATGTACACAAATCAGTAGCTCTCCTCTACACCAACAGTGACCAAGCTGAGAATCAAATCAAGATCTCAACTCTTTTTACAATAGCTGCAAAAAATAAAATAAAAATATGTAGGAATATACCTAACCAAGGAGGTAAAAGATCTCTACAAGGAAAACTACAAAACACTGCTGAAAGAAATCATAGACAACACAAACAAACAGAAACACATCCTATGCACAGGGATGGGTAAAATCAATATTGTGAAAATGACCATACTGCCAAAAGCAATCTACAAATTCAATGCAATTCCCAGCAAAATACCACCATCATTCCTCACAGAACTAGAAAAAAAAATCCTTAAATTCCATTGACCAGAATGGGTCCCATGACCCCGGCTAGCTGCAAGAGAGCTGGGAAATGGAACAGCTTGCACTAAGAGGAAAAGCAATAGGACAGCTTTACATCGTGAGTGTGGCCCCAACTGTGGCAAAAGTGGAAGAGAGTAGGAAACAAATACGGTTAAAACCAAGGTATGGACCTTTCTGGCCTCCAGACAAGGAATGAGAAGTTTGGTATTCCTTCAACTCTTGGGCCTGCATTGAGAAGGGAAGTCTGTGGGACCAGTCAGAACTCCTATGGACAGGAGAAAGGGACTCTCCAGGTGGTAGCAGACAATGGTAAGGGTGTTGGAAGCCCTCGTATAAAGTCTTCAGCTTTCTCCTATCCCTGGCCTCACGTCTTCTAATAGATCAAAGAAACCTTACTTGGCTTATTTTTCCAATTAGGCTATATAACTCCATGTACTTCCACACTCCAGGCCCTACCCTGCCTCAGATCTTTGCCAGCTCTGGAACCATCTACCCTCCATGGCACCCCTTCCCCACTAACATCTAAAATGTCCTCCCTGCAGCCAAGAGGAAGATTCTCACCAAGATCTCTAAGCAGAGGATCCTTTCTCACCTACCATTCATGGTAGGCTGCACCAAGCACCCATGAGGTATGGCAGGGAGTGGCACATTTCGTTTTGTTTGTTTGTTTGTTTGTTTGTTTTACAAACAGGCAATAAATCCCAAGCTGTTTGCTGAGTGCAGCACCTTCTGTGTGTGCTGGTGTGCAGGCCATATCCAACCACTCCAGCCCAGGACCCAGGGCCTCGCAGCAACCATGGCGAGCTCGCTGAACAGCTCTGGCACAGCTCGGGGTCCCACCTGCAGGACTGCAGGAAAGGCCAAAGGTGTAGTCTCTTCACTCTGCACTTTAAGCTTTTGCATCCTATTGTCTTCAAGCAAATGCTGATGAACTTCAGACGCTTAGACATGCCGTTTGTTATATATTTCCCCGTGAGAGAACATGTGCCAACTCCAGCTCTGTGTAAGAGATTTTGCTTTGTCCATGGGGTTCTTATCATCAGAAAAATTTCATTACGTGACAAGTGAATTTGACAAACAGAAAGCATCTCAAGAAATTCTGGCTTTTGGGTGGCTTTTGAAAATAAGACCTAAGTGACAAATACCCGCTACCCATGAAAAGTATCTGGACATTTCCAACAGGTCACCAGGCAAACCAACTGTGGGTATAATACAAAGCACTTTTTAAACCAAGTCTCCATCAACAGATGGATGAAAAAGGAAAATGTGGTCTATATACCCAATGGAATACTATTCAGCCTTTAAAAAGAGGGAAATCCTATCATTTGTGAAAACATGGATGAACCTGGAAGAGATTATGCTAAGAGAAATAAGCCAGGCACAGAAAGTCAAATACTTTATGACATCACTTATGTGTGGAACCTAAAAACATCAAACTCATAGAAACAGAGTGACCAGGAGCTGAGGAGTAGGGAAATAGGGAGGTGTTGATCAAAGGATACAAAATTTCCACTAGACAGGAGGAATAAGTTTAAGAGGTCTATTGTACATCATGGGGACTAAAGCTAATATTATACATTGATGTATATTATATGTAATATCTATATCTTATATATTATATAGTTATATACTATAGATTATATAGATTATATGTTATATATTATATATAGATTACATATTGTATATAATATATATTATAGATTATATATTGATATATAGATATTATTGATATTATATATTGATATATTGATATTATATATAATATATATCAATATATTGCATACCTGAAAATTGCTGAGAGAGTAGATTTTTTCTCACCATAACAAAACATATGTGAGGTAATGCGTATGTTAAATAGCTTGACTTAGCCAATCACAATGTATACATGTATCAAAGCATCATGTTGTACAACATAAATATATACAATTTTTAATTATCAACTAAAGAAAGAAAAAATTTTTAAAGGGCTTTTTTTTTAGGTTTAAAGAAAAAAGCAGTGCTTTGTAGACTAAATGTCCCAGGTGACGGGGAGCTTAATGGTTAGAGACAGCGTCAGGGATAAATCTGAATCTTGGGGGTCAGATTGCTGGAGCCTGGCTCTCTTCTCACTAGATAACTTTGTGTAAATCATTTAGCCTCTCTTAAACAGGAATAAATGATATTGCTTATTTTGTGAGGTCAGTATACTGTGGAATTAAGGTATTTAGTGCAGTGCTCTGCATAAGGAAACAGCCACTGTATGTTGGCTATATGATCATTGTCACCTTGAGGAGTGATTCCTACCCGATGTCTAGGTGAAAACTAACAGACAGCTTTCTCTCAAACAGAACTGCATCTGTCTCTTATCACCTTAAACTTTACATTCTGCTATAAGCTTTCTTTGGACAAAGAATTACTCAACTTTTACAATAATAATTTGAGCCCATCCAGTGACTATAGCGCCCATCATGACCCCAATCCTCCACCCCTAGATTTAACTGGCAATGCAGTCCCCAGCTTCATACCGATGTCAGAAGGGAGAGTCAGCACTTACCTAACAAATCAGGTCTCATTGGAGACATTCAAGCAAAGATTGGATAACTGCTTTTCCAGAACAGAAAGGAAACTCATGTGTCAAAAACGGTGACTAATAAACATACTAAAAAAATACGGTTGCACAAATACCAGAATCTGATCAGATAAAACAGTTTAAGGAATGTCTTACAACTACAAGAAATTTCCATAAAACTGCTTTTTTAACTGAGTTAAAGACTTCACAACAAGAGAACTAAAACCCAAAGAGACTACCTGCTCAGAGGATTGCTTACAGAAATATTTTTAAATAATGCAAAGAATATCCATGAGATTTCAGGAATATCATTCAGCAGCCAGACAGAACTCCATGGCCAACCGCAATAGAGAAGTCCTGATGGATGAACTTTTAATAAAAAATTTCCAATAGTTATTGCACAAGAAATGAGGACTCATCTGATGGAATCTCCTGAAAACAGTAGCCACTATGTTAAACCATCACTCATGATTGTTTGGCAAATGGAAACTACTGGAGAAACGAAATCTATTTCCCTGGAATATCAAAATAGAAGGCCTTATTGTTCAATGACAATAAGAGGCAACATTTGTTGAGGCCTTAAGATTAAGTAGCTGTGTCACTTGATTAGAAAAATAAACTATTGTTTCTTCAAAAAAACTTTAAAATGGCTTGAAAATCACTGATCTGGCTTCTAGTTAGGTTAATGTGAGGTACTAGATGGTCTGCAAAGCCTTCCTGCTGCAGACACCTGGGAATTGAAATAAAACAGAAGAAGCATCCTTTTCAATGCAGAACAGAGAATGTAAGAAAGTAAGGAAATAGCCAATACCAGAAATAAAGAGAAAACTACAAAACCAGAAGAGTATGTGAGCCAGGTGTGTGTGCTGGGGAAGCAGGGGAACAATGGGTCTTGACAATCCACCAACATGGGGACGGGGGACAATTAGAGGACACACACCCTTTCCAAGCACATGCAAAACATCTATTATAATTGATCACATGCCAGGTCACAAAACAAATCTCAGCAAACACAAAAGAATGAATACTGTATAGGCTATGTTCTCTTGCCCCAGTGCATTTTAATCAAGAATAGTAACAACACAACCAAAAGTCCTTTATACATTGGCAAATTTAAGAACACCCTTGTAAATAACTTGTGTGCCAAATCTGAAAATATTTAGAATGGAGTAAAATGAAAGGTAAATAACTACATTCATGGGAAACAGCTAAACAGTAAATTGAGGGGAATGTTACAGCTTTTTTCTGAGTCTGTTTTGTGCTGCTATAACAGGGAACCACAGACTGGGTAGTTTACAACGAACAAAAATCTATTGGTTCTGAAGGCTGGAAAGTCCAAGATGAAGGGGTCACACGTAGCAAGGGGGTTCTTGTTTCATCATCCCATGGGGGAAAGGCAAAATGAGGGCAAGAGAGAGAATGAGAGCAAGAGATCAAACTCGTAGCCTCAAGCCCTTTTATAACTGATATTAATCTACTGATGAGGTTAGCGCCCCCATGACCTAAATACCTCCCATTAGGCTGCATCTCCCAACACTATTGCACTGGGGATTCAATTTCCAACACATGTTTTTGGGGGGACACATTCAAACCATAACAGCTTTAAACACATATTTTAAAAATCTACAGGCGTATTCCCCTGAATGCTTTCAATCTTGTCTAATCTCAGAAGTTAAGCAGAGTTGAGCCTGGTTACTACTTGGATGGAAGACTGCCTGGGAATACTAGGTGTCGGGGGCTTTCTTTTAAATGCTTTCTCTTATGAAGGAGGAGGAGGAGGATGTGCAGGAGGAGTAGGAGGAAGATCTTGAAGAAGAAGAAAGACAAAAGCAGAAGAGTTTAGCATTCAATTCCAGGAATTAGAAAAATAAAATAGAATAACATAGAACTCCACAGAAAGTAGAGGATATAAATGATAATGATATGAGCAGAAATCGATAAAATAGAAAACAAAGAAATAATAAACAAACCAAAACTTGGTCCTTTGAAAAGATTAATAAAATAGGCAAATTTTCTGACAAGATTGATTCAGAAGGTATAAATAATATAGAGAATGAAAACAGGGACATAACTACAGAGACAGCAGAGATTTCTTTAGAACAGTATAAACTTAAAATTTTTATGACAATAAATTTGAATGTTTATGTAAACTGAACAATTTTCTAGAAAAACAGTTTGCAAAAACGGATTGAAGAAGAAATTAAAAACTTGAGTATACCAATGTCACGGGTTGAGCTGTGTTCCCTCGAAAGAGCCATGTCAGAGTTCTAACCCCCAGTGTTTCAGAATGTGACCTTATCTGGAAATAGTCTTTGCAGATGTAATTAGTGAAGATGAGGTCTTCTTGAAGTAGGGTGTGCCCCTAATCCAATATGGCGTCCTCCTAAGAGGACGGCCATGTGAAGATACAGAGAGCACCCCATGAAGATAGAGGCGGAGATTGGGGTGATGCATCACAAGCCAGGGAACGTCAAGGATCTCTGTCTAGCATCAAAAGCCAAGAGAAAAGCATGGAAGAGATTCTTCCTCAAAGCCTCTAGAAGGAACCAACCATGGAGACCTTTTGATTTCAGACTTCCCGCTGCCACAACAGTGAGATTAAATTTCTGTCATTTTAAGCTACCCAGTTTGTGAGACTTTGTTCCAGCACCCCTGGGAAACTAATACAATCAATAACCATTGGGGTGATTGAAATGACAGTTTAAAATCTACACACACACACACACACACACACGCACACACAGATCCAGTTCAGTCTCCTCATTGTATAGACAAGTAAACTGAAGCCCCGCAGCTCCCCAGCAAGTTGGGGAGGTAGCATGTGACATCGGAGAGCAAGCAGATGGGGTCGACACCATGCTCTGCAGTAGGACAGTTGGTACCCATGCACTTTTCACACTTTTCATAGACTTGTCTTTTCTTCCCAGGTGCATCAAGGTGATGGAAAATTAATTCTCTACCCCAACAAGAATGTCTATCAAGTTCTCTTTCCTGATGGGACAGGCCAGATACAGTATCCACACAAGGACAGAGATGCTCGTATTGACATATATTGGCACCTAAAACGTCTATGATTCAGGGTGTGGGGTTTGACTGAGGTGTGGGGTTTGACTGAGGCCTACATCATCTGTAGGGCCCTACCTTTTCCAGGGGACCCCAAGGACTGACTGCTTGTGCCTTAACCTTCTCCCAGTTATCCATCAGGAAACCTGGCTATGCTCATCTTATATGTGAAAATGAAAAAGTTCACATACATCATTCTGGAAGACAGTCTAGAAGGGTGGATCCGGGCCCTTATCAACAACTCAGGCAATGCTACCTTCTATGATGAAAATAGTGACATCCGGTAAGCTTGGGTCATGAGTCCCTAACACTCCTGCCCATGGAGAAGCAGCTGGACAAAGCATGACTCACAGACTGCGTGAACTTCCTCTCTCCCTGTATAAGAGTTACATGTGTTGGAAATGAGAGAATGAGCCCCATGACGGACCAGTCCGTGAGGTCCCTGACTGCAGAGGAGGCACAATGTTCTTACTGCACCATTGCTCCTCCATGGGTGAAATAGCCGTCAAGCCTCCATAACCACCACATTCTATTGGTTTCATCTCCTGAACACCTCTTAAGAGTCACCTTTGTGAGAATTTCCTTAGGAAGACCCAGTGCCTCCCTGTTCTGGGTGCCTCAGAGAGAAGGGTTTGGTGAGGGTTTGGAGACATATGCATACAGAGTCCATGGTCCAAAAGGCAATTTCTAAATATTTCACTATTACTGAACTTAGTTCTAAGTTCCCATTTCTGGTAATGGTGGAAAACCATCTTGCCACTTCAAGACCACTCAGTCACTTCAAAATGTTTCTCCATCTCTTTGAGGTAAAGGACTCTCTTTTCAGGATTTTCTCCTTCCCTTCCTCTTCTAAGTGGTCGTGGTGTGGGGATATATATATATGTGTATATATATATATATTGTTTTTTTTTTTTTGAGATGGAGTCTGCTCTGCTGCCCAGGCTGGAGTGCAATGGTGTGATCTCGGTTCACTGCAAACTCCACCTCCCGGGTTCAAGCGATTCTCCTGCCTTAGCCTCTTGAGTAGCTGAGATTACAGGCATGCGCTGCCAAGCCCAGCTAATTTTTGTATTTTTAGTAGAGATGGTGTTTCACCACGTTGGCCAGGTTGGTCTTGAACTTCTGACCTCAGGTGATCCACCTGACTCGGCCTCCCAAAGGGCTGGGATTACAGGTGTGAGCCACCGCACCCGGCCAAGGGGACATATATTATCTTGGATCAACTTTATACTTTCTTCTTGCTGGTCAAAGCCAAACATAATTCCAAAAAAGGATTTTCATTCTGCAGACTTTGGTTTTTAACAACATTTTCTCTGCTGTGAGTCTTTTTAGACACCGTTTCCTGATTGTGTTCTTTATTCTGGAGGTATCTGCCCTCCCTGTAGGCCTTATGTATAGAAAATACTGTCCAAGAAGTGGACCAAGGTTTGGGGTACAGAAAGCACAAAGGAGTGGGGCAAGAAATTCAGTTAATTACCTCAGAGAGGATCTGGTGACAGATCATCAAGTAACCCAGGGAGGGACGGGCCCCGTTCAGTCCTATCAGCATGTCCAGCCCCTCCTCACCTTGAGCATCTGTATGAGAGCACGGACGGTCCGCTGGGTATCCCTTCACGGACCCCTCACCCCACCCGGCCCCCCCGCCCCACCCCCCGCCCCCGGCAGAGTCCAAACCCACAGGGCCAGGCCCTGTCCCTCTCTCGGGAATGGCTGCCTACCCCCCAAACTGATTCCTTCCCCCAGGGGCAGCTGCTCCAGAGGAAAAATGTCACCCACAGAGGAAGGGCTTAGTCTCTGAGGAAATTCATCAGCAAAACCGCAGTCTCGTTGACGCTAGGAGAAGATTTTATGGAAAAGCCTCCCAGAGTCATTTGTGAATACAAAGCCATTTGGTCAGGGCCCGACCCTAACTGCTAGAATTTCCTCCGCACCCACAGGACTTCTCCGTAGTGCCTCGGGCACCAGGAGGGACTTAGAGCCAAGCTATTTCAAGAGCTGAATACGTCTTAGGTCATTTGTTGATTTCCATTTCCTCCGGGAAGATGGAAGGCGTGGCTGTCCTTTGCCAGGTGTGTGGAAACTAAAATCCAGCACAGGCCTCTCCACTCTCAGCCCAAGGGGTCTCACGACAGGCTTCCTACCTGGGTTCCGGGTCCCACACAGTGTTGAGACCTGCCCAAACTCGGGGTCCCTGGTGGGTGGGTTCTACTCGTTCAACAGTTCAGGATCTTTTCACCCCCTGAGCAGGAACTTCCCAATTCCGACCATTTATACATGTTCCAGATCCCATCTTCTTAAGGGAAACTTAGTCCAGAGCTGGGCACCCTCAGGCAGGAGCAGATCTCTAACCCTAGGGAGTCGGGGATGGCCCAGCATTGCTCCTAGAATCCGAGATTCTCTGGATCTCCCAGGAGAGAAATCAAGACAGATCGCTAAACATAGCAGCAAAGGAAAGCTTATTTCAGCTTGTGCACAAGGGAACCAACACTGAGAAAAGAAAAGGAATGGGCTACTCCCCGAGTGCAATGTGTGGGTTGGTTTTACAGGGTCTTCCTGTAGGGAAGGGCTATGTTTATGACAGGGCATGTATAGGAGCAGTTTTTCTAGTGCTTGCACAGTGGCTCAACATGCCTCTTCATACATCTTCTGTAACATTCGCACTTGAAATCTCCACCCCTGGGTGTGGCTTTTAGCATTAAAATAAGGAAAGGACTAACTATAAGTTGGAGTTTAAGTCTAACTGCACATACAGGACTCCAGGGAAGTCCGTAGCCACCTGAAATAGGAGCTTCTTGGGTCTTTTGTTACTGATTGGTTAAGGGCTAGCCAAGCTGGAGCTTGAGTGAGGGGCTTTTATTCTTTTCCTCCAGACCACCTTAAAATTGGGAACCAACCAGCCTGCCCATCTCAGTGTGAGAGCTCTGATGGGAACCATTTAAAAGGTTAAAAGCTAGCAGGATCTGCTCCCCACAGAGTGAAGTCAGAAGATCCTTCTCTTTGCTCTCCTCTCCATCAATGATAACAAGGAAATTTTAATGTTTTCTCAGTTATTGTTGTGTATAGACATGTAATCCTTACACAGCCCTCTGAACAAAGTACTATTATTATCTGCTTTTTACAGTTGAGGAAATGGAGGCACAGAGAGGTTAAGTGACTGGCCCAAGGTCACACAGTTTGCAAGTGGCACAGCCGGACTTGGAACTGAGAATCTGGCTCCAGAGCCCAGGTTTTTGTTTGTTCATTTGTTGTTTTTATAATTTTGGTACCAAAGAGCCCAGGTTTTTAATTCACTACTATGTAAACAGCCTCTTACTTAGAGGAGGAGGAATGAGGTTGGACAAGCTGGGGTCCCAAGACAAAGGAACTTAGAAGTTTGTTTTTGTTCGATGGAAAGTGGGAAGCAACAGGAGGATTTGGGATTGAGTGGTTGGAAGTCCTCCCCACTGGAGGTGAGCAAGGCTTCCCATAGCAGACCTCCGAGCCAGCTTCTCACTCCGATGAGGTCCCTGTGTTCTGTGAAAGGTTCGTATATACAAAGTGACCACCAAATACCGAGGGAGCTGAGAAACCAAAGAACAAGGCAGACAAATCCAGTTTGTCTGTATAAGGTGATTTACTGGGGAACTTACAGACAGAAGTGCATTCTAGGATGGATGCGGGACAGGTAGATCTCTGCACCAAAACCTCGCAGATCTAGGGCCTACGTCTCGGGGGAGAAAGTACACGTGCCCTGGAAGGAATGTGTAGGCAGCTGTGGGCGTCAAAGCCTGTCATGTATGCCACAACATCATGGGTTGTTTTCTAAGAAAGGCAAAGTTTACAGTGAATAGATATTTCTAGATAAAGTGTAGTACATCGCCACCCCCTGGACAGCTCAGACGAGACCTGGCAGACTGAGTAACCCAAGCTCCCCAAGCCCTCCTTCTCCAGACGAACCCAGGCCTCACATCGCTTCCTTTCTTCGTGTGATTCCCCAGAGATGTTGCTGCCCCAAGGGCACTGATTCTAGGAACTGCCCTTTGGGATTTGAAAAGCAGAAGCCAGGGCCACAGGGACACGATGGGTTTGAAGTGTCAAGAGAGGATGGCTCAGAGGGCAGGCAAGCCCCAGAGAGTAGGGTCTGGAATGAATGAGAGAGAAATGCATCCACCCTTCATTCCCTTGTACCTATCGATATGGGTGCCCTGCACTAGGCTGGGTAATAGGAATTCAGCAGCGCAGCAGACAGACAAGGTCCCTGCCCTCAGGAGTTTGTGCTTTAGTGAGAGAGAACAGATGATGGACAAATACAGTCAATTCTCATGATTCATGGTAGTTATAGTCTATAAAGTCATTGAGAACACTGCATTGGCCGATACTGAACCCCTTGCTCCTAGGGGAAATACACACATATATAATATGTGACTCACGTGGAGCCAGGGACGTGCCCAGAGCAGTGGGAAATTTGATTTCCCAGTGTGCACATTGCTGGCTGAGATTGAACAAGGCCGCGCTCTGCCTTTCTGCTCAGTTCTCCTGCAGAGGCAACCAGAGGACACAAGTGTCCTTACACGGGGCAGTGTAGTGCAAGAAACTGCAGTTCTGGGGCTGGTGGGACAGGGTTTGAATCCCAGTTCCAGCACGTGTCACTGGGACAGCCTCGGGCAAGTCACATGACACTTCTGAGCCTCCTATTCTTTTTTGTAAAATAAAAATTAAAAACAAAAACAAACAAAAAAAAACGGCACCTAGCAGGATGGGCTGCTTTTAGGATTTAAGATGATAACCTATGTGAGCTGTGTCTGTGTGCGTATTTCCCCTAGGAGCTATGGGTTGTTATTCACTAAATCACTGGCTTTCTAGAACATAATACAGTGAACAATGAGAACTTACCGTATCTATTTGTAAATTACATGAAAGAAACTAACAAGGCATGGCAACAGAGAGTCCCACAGGGAACCGGGGGGCTGCTCAGACTGAGGAGGTGATGTCTAAGCTGAGACCTGCAGGATAAGTAGATGCCAGCCGTGCTACGTGGGGCAAGGGACCTTTGCAGGCAGAGGGCAGAGCATGGCAAAGCTGTGAGCAGGAAGAGCCTGCACCCGCCAGGAACTAAAGGAGAGGGAAGGAGGGTGGGACAGGGCCATACGGTGAGGCCAGCGCAGAGGACAGCGCCTGGTGTTGGGCTGGTTGTCCGTATTGGAGCTTCTCCTACCCATCAAGTCCCTGTCAGGCTTTCTGTGGCCAAGTGGGGAAAAAGAAAGGGAAGGAGAGGAGGAGGAGCAGAGGCCCAGGGCTGAGCGCCCTGGCTGCCTGACATGCTTTCTCTTGGTGCAGGTTGAACCTGAGCTCCAACCTGGGCTACTACTTCCCCAAAGACAAACATCAGAAGGCCTGGAACTGGTGGAATCTGAACATCCATGTCCACGCACCCCCTCTCCAGCCCATCTCCTTGAAAATCAATGAGTACATCCAGGTACAAATAAGGAGCCAGGATAAGATCATCTTCTGCTTCACCTATGAACAGAAGCGGATTTGTTTAAACCTGGGCACCAGGTACAAGGTAAGGTCATGACTCCCCACACCCTCCACCAGGTGGGGTGCCCACCTGTACAAAGGCCACTGCTGGCTTAGACTGGCCCCTGCCACAGGCCTCCAGGCTTGTTCTACATATGCCAACCCGTATAAAAACAAGGCCACTTTGCTTTACCTGATGTTTAAGTACACACAAATGCATTCATGCAACTTCCCAGCACTGTGAGCTTAAGCTCTGAGGAAATTCACATCAAAATGCTCAGGCTAGCCTGGGAAGAATGACTTGCACCTGTTGCCCCAGGACTTTGGGAGGCCGAGACAGGTGGATCCCTTGAGCCTAGCAGCTTGAAACCAGCTTGGGCAACATAGCAAGAACCCTTCTGCACAAAAAAATTTTTTAAATTTACTGGGCATGGGCCAGGTGCATTGGCTTATGCCCGTAATCCCAGTGCTTTGAGGACGAGGCGTGTGGATCACTTAAAGGCCAGGAGTTCGAGACAGCCTGGCCAGCCTGGTGAAACCCCGTCTCTACTAAAAATACGCAAAAAAGTTAGCTGATCCCAGTGACTTATGCCTTTAATCCCAGCTACTCGGGAAACTGAGGTAGGAGAAATTGTCTGAACCCAGGAGGCAGAGTTGCAGGGAGCCGAAGATCACACCACTGCACTCCGCCGCCTGGGCGACGGAGCCAGACCCTGTCTCAGAAAATAAATAAGTAAATAAATGAATACAATTCACTGAGCTACTTGGGATGCTGAGGCAGGAGGGTCACTTGAGCTCAGGATATGATCCTGAGAATAAAACACAGATGTCATGCTGCATTATCTCACTTGACACTCGCAGCGGCCATGTCAGAAGTCAGGGCCAGAAACAAGGGGGAATCTGTGTCCCCAGGCCTGCTGCTGTGTCCCCTTCCCTCCTCCCCAAACCCACTCTTCTCTAGACAGATGATCCCCTGCAAGTTCGAGGCACACTGCCCAGGCAGGCAGGAGAGGACCAATGCTGTATTTGTTTCCTAGGGCTGCTGGAAAAATCAGCACAAACTAGGAGGCCTGAAACAACAGAAGTTTGTTCTCTCACAGTTCTGGGCCAAGTCTGAGATCAAGGTGTCTGTGGGGCCACCATCCTCCAGAGGCTCCAATGGGGGACCCTTCCTTGCTCTCCCACCTTCTGATGACTTCTGGTGTTCTTGGCTCGTGGCAGCATCACTCCAGTGTCTGCCTCCACCTTCACACAGCCTTCTCCTCTGTGTGTCTGTGTCAAACCTCCTTCTCCTTTTTCTTAAAAGGACACCAGTAGTTGGATCTAGGGCCTACCCTAAATCCAGAAGGAGCTCATCCTGAGAGCCTTAACTTAATCACATCCACAGAGACCCTGTTTCCAAATAAGCTCACGTTCCCCAGCACTGGGGTTAGTACTTGGACATCACTTTTGGGGGACACAGTTCCACCTACTCCAAATGGTGAGGCTGGACCCCTGGAACTCCAACTGTAATGGGGGAAGAAGGTGGGCTCCTGAGACCCTTCCTGAGGACCAGAGTCAAGGAAAGGAATGAGGGTGTCCTTGGCTCCCCCAGAGAGGCCTAAGCAAGGTTCTCTTCCTGCTCAGCTCCCCCAGGCTATTCCACATGGAAGGCTCCACTTTACAGACCCCCACCCAGAGAGGTGCCCAGGGCCCCGGGGAGCAGGACTGCCTTGGCAGACAGATGGATGGACATGTCCCCTGGAGAATGAAACAGATGGAGAAGTGGGCTGATGACAGCAGACTCCAGCAGAATAGATGCAGCTGTGTGCAGAGTAGCTGAGAAGAGAGGAGGGAGTGTGCTAGGTTTTGGGTGACCAGACACACCAGTTTGCTCAGGACTGAGGAGTTTCCTGGGACATGGGACTTTGAGTGCTAAAACAGGGAAAGTTCCAAACAGGCCTGGCCTGCTGGCCGCCCCCAGGTTTCCTCGCCTGGCAAGGCCTCCTATTTTGCAAGTGAATAACGACATCCCAGCATCCTTGCCTATCCTGGATTTCTCAGAGCAGCCAATCCAGTGAAGAGGAGGCCAGCACTACCAAGCCCAAGTGGCCATTTGCACTCCTGCCACGGCCAGGACCAGCTGGGGCCGGACAGCATGAGGGCCTGGGGCACTGGCCTTTGAATGGTGAAGGGAGGAGGGCAGGGACAGGAAGGCAGTGCCCAGCGAGGTTGCAGGAAGGGCTGCTGTGGGCAGAGAGACCAGGGGGCCTGAAGCCTTGGAGAGCTAGAGTCCCGGGGAAGGGCAGCTGTGCCTGTGCAAGGCGTGTCCCAAATGAAGCAAATCAGCACCAGTGTAACTAATCAGAGCCAAAGAAAGGAGACAGAGCCTGGCACAGGGTTAGCCCAGGTGGGCAGTAGTGTGCCCGGGGAAGAACAGACCCCTCCATGCCCAGCCACTGTACCTCCTGGGTGACGCTAGCCTGTGGTCTGAGCCCATAGTCTTCTATAAGATGGCCATAGGTTATTGTGTGGCTAAAACAATAACAATATTGTGTGAAGACATTTCATACGCATAGGAATGGAGCACACGGGTATCGTCCTATCTTATCCCCTCCAGGAGACTCTGTCCTCTGTCTTCTGCAGGCTGCAGACCCAGGCAGAACTTGGCATAGAGGCGGCCTCCCTGGGCCAGGCCTTCATCTAAACAAAACCCAGATACACTCCCAAGGAGCCTAAGGTGGAGGCGGGGCTCACAGGCAGCCGCTGTGAGGCATCCCAGCCCTTGCAGAGCCCCATGGTCGGGACCCACGGGGAGAAGCCCGGCAGCCCCAGGAAAGCATGGCCTTCGGAGGGCAGGCCGCGCCAGGCCACCAGAGCTGCTTTCCCTCAGGTTTAGGGCCAGGCATGGGCGTGGCCTCAGCCCACATCACCATGGTCCACATGACCACAATACCAGCCAAGTGAGTGTATTTGGAAGCAGAAGGAAGGTGGCAGGTGGTGGGGCTGAGAGCACAGATCTGCTTTCTCGGGTGAAGGCTCAGGGAACACTTGGTCCTGGCCACAGGAGGCCCGGCCTGGGTCTGGGGCACGGCGCTCAGGCAGCGTGCATTCTCACCCAGTCCTCTGTGCATCCCCGCAGTTTGTGATCCCGGAGGTGCTCAGTGAAATGCAGAAGAAAACCATCCTGGAGGCAGAGCCCGGCCCAACAGCCTGCAAGATCCGGGTCCTTCTGGGGAAAATGAACAGGCTCCTGAATTACGTGACCATCCCTGATCTGGAAAACTTCACAGAGGCGGTCAGTACATCACTGACGGACAACAAGTACCTGAGGAAGATGTTCTCTCAACTCTGGTTTTAGGGCGGGGCTTTTCTGGCGTCCACCAAATGTCTTGGGAAGGTGGAGACCTTGGGAGCTCCAGGGAAAAAACTCCAAAGACCTATTGACGTTCTGTGAGAGTTGCTTTGTAATTTGGGACCTGTCGTAGCTCCTTGGTTTGAAATACACGTTTTTGGCAGGAGGGCTGACAGAGTCTGGGGCTGAGCACAGAAAACGCCTGATAGCCCTGACCTGACAGCACCGAAGCAAGTTGTCATTTCAGTGACATATCAGTGCCTGTCCTGCCTGCTTCTACGGTCACTCACTCTGTCCTTTTGTGACTCTCAGTACTAGCCTTGACTTAGGACAACGACTGTGCTCACAGCCAAGCTCTGTCTTTTGTTGACTGTGTGATCTTGGGCAAGTAGCTTTATACTTCGGTTTCCTCATCTGTAAAATGGGCCTAAAACTAGCAACTATCAGCACAGAGTTGGGAGTATTAAATTAGTTAATGCACATACAGTCCCTAGAACAGGGTCTGAACCGTAGGAGCCACTCAGTAAGTGTCACTCCAATTACTGTGAGCTTGGGCCTTCCTTCACGTCTGGGCAGCTACTGGGAAGGGTCTGTGAGACAATCAGGAAGGCTGAGTGTCTGCACTTCCTTGAGCTGCTAAGGCAAAGCCCCTTCAGCTTCCTCAGGCCTTTCTCCTCACGACGCTCCCTGTGGTTACTGAGCCTGCGCACAAACCAGGCGGGCCCCAGTGTGAGCGCTGTGCAGGCTCTAGCTCCTGTGGCTCCAGGATGCGAGCAGTATTTTCTCAAGGACACGGGGATGCAGAGAGGTTAAAGGACTCGCCCAGGATCACGCACCAGTACGTGATGGTAAAGACTGGCATTCCAGCCTACTCGACTACAAAATGACATCGCTGTGGTGAAAATATGAGTATGTTTATGACCGCCCCCACCACCGCTCCAGGGCATCTCAAAGACTCAAGGCCTCGCCAGGTGCTACTGCCCTTATCCTACCTTGTTGCACGGCGCCTACCCACCCCCACCCCACTCCAGGGAGCTCTGGAGGCCAGTCCCGGCCTCCCAGCTGCTGCTGACTTGGCACAAATCATGCATCAGCCTTGGGGGGGTCCAGCCGTTCCTCCTGGTGTTGGAGCCTCTGGGCACCACCCCAGAACACAGCACCTCCTCCTGAGGCTGAGAGAGGCGAGGCTCCATGTGGCCCAGTGCCCGGATCCCCCACGCTTCCTGCACGACCCCAGAGGCTCTCTCCAACCCTGAACTCATCACACCTTATCCACCCCTGCCAAGCCAGAGGGAAACCCAGATGGCAAACCCGTACCGGCCCAAACCCAGTGCCCGAAACTGGTGGGTGACTGAGAGCTCGAAAGGATGCACATGCCAGCTCCCCCCAGAAACTGGGTGGGACACATGGGGTCACTGGTAACAGTTACCAACTTGAATAGCTAAAACAAAAGGGAAAACTGTGTCATCTGGAGATAAGAACACTGACCCGAACTGAAGATGCAGTGGATCTCGGAAATGACTGGAGAGCCTGCAGACCCCGACTTTCTGCCTCCCAGTCTTCGACACTCATCTTGTCCTGGAGACGTTTTCTACGCATCTCAGGTCACACGGCTTTGTCTCCCAATCACTCTCAAAAACACCCCAGTGGTCTCTGCAGTTGGTCTTGATTAAATCAGGAGACCACGCTTGGTCCAATCCAGTGCAGTAAGAGCAGGTGGGGTTACGTCTTGTAAATGGCTCCCAGCTGATCTCAGAGCACGAGTAGGGGCAGCTGTTTCTAGAAATAGGAGACTTGAGCTGGGCAGCCCCCCAGGGGATGATTTTATACAATCTCAGGACACCTGCAAACTTCCCAGAATGACCTGAGCTCCAGCCTCAACCAAGACAGTGTAGAAAACCCCAGACCTGGCCAGGTGCAGTGGCTCACGCCTATAATCCCAGCAATTTGGGGGGCCAAGGTGGGAAGATCACTCGAGGCCAGGACTTAGAGACCAATCTGGGCAACATGACAAAACCCCACCTCTACTGAAAATACAAAACTTAGCTGGGTGTAGTCGTGCATGCCTGTAATCCCAGCTACTCAGGAAGCTGAGGCATGAGAATGGCTTGAGCCTAAGAGGCAGGGAGGTTGCAGTGAGCCAAGATTGCACCACTGCACTCCAGCCTGGGTGACAGAGTGAGACCGTCTCACAAAAAAGAAAAAAAAAAAACCCAGGCCAGGTACAGTGGCTCACACCCAGAATCCCAGCACTTTGGGAGGCTGAGGCAGGCAGATCACTTGAGGTCAGGAGTTTGAGACCAGACTGGCCCACAGAGTGAAATCCCATCTCTACAAAAAATTAGCATGGTGGTGTGCACCTGTAGTCCCAGCTACCTGGGAGGCTGAGGTGGGAGGATCACCTGAGCCCAGGAGGTCAAGGCTGCGGAGAGCTGTGTTCACACCACTGCTCTCTGGACTAGGCTACAGAGTGAGACCCTGTCTGAAAAGAGAGGAGAGGGGAGAAGAGGGAAGGAGAGGGAATGGGAGGGGAGCGGAGGGGACCCTTCCTCTAGTAATTAGCCATTCTCTACTGTGAACAGTGACACCCAAGTGCTGCCTTCACGGCCCTTCTCCCTGAGGCTCTCCCACTGTCTTCCACCAACCTCCACTTAATGCTTTGTCCTCACCCCCAAACCGTCACCTGTGCAGCTGAGCTGGCACTAGGACAGTCAGGCTGTCCCAGGCACGGCACTACATGTCACTTGCTTGGCCTGACTTTGCTGGTGAATGCTGTCATTGGCTAACACACAATAGTTCCTTTGCTGCAAGGTAATGAGCCATCAATGACTACTGTGGTAGCATCCCTTTATATAGCCACAAAGTTTGAGTGCCTGGTTAGTTCCACACCTATGTTCAGGGTGCACAGAAACCCCTGTGCTTACCACACATCAAAGATAGAAGCTCCCAAGTGGATCTCAGCAACACACAAGTCATCCCTAGCGTGCTACTGTCTCTCAGCCCCAGCCCCGAGGCTCCCCCACCCATAGCCCCATGCCCTCTCCACGCGGAACTGGAAGGACGTGCACGTGCCCTGGAATCAGCCCTGGGTTTGGGACTTGGTACAAACACTTAGCTGTGTGGCCTTGGGCAAGGGAATGAGCCCTCTGTGACTCAGTTTCCTCCTCTGTAATATGAGGACAATCACAGAACACACCACACAGGGTATAATAAGGATTATAATAAGGATTAAACAAGATGACATAGATAAGGCACTCAGAACAGCGCTTAGTATTATGAGTCTAAGCACTGTTATTATCAGTGGCTTGTTATTATCTTGTTATCTATCGGTCATCCTCTCCCTGATCCTCCTCCCTTCACACAACTTCTCACAACGTGATTCCACGAATGCAGAGGTTGTAAACAGGTGGCCTCACAGGGGCGTTTTCTTTGGTCAGCACCTGTTTTAAAATATTTTGTTGCCAACATTTAAAAATCAGGGGATTTCACACAGAAATAGGATTTCCATCTTCTGTTGTAACTGCTGCCCTGCGCGGGCTATTATCAAAGACTGGACAGAATGAGTTCTCAGCTTATTTTCTTTTTCTTTTTTTTCTTTTTTTCCTTTTTGATACAGAGTCTTGCTCTGTCACCCAGGCTAGTGTGTGCAGTGACGCGATCTTGGCTCACTGCAACCTCTACCTCCTGGGTTCAAGCGATTCTCCTGCCTCAGCCTCCTGAGTAGCTGGGATTACAGGTGCCCGCCACCGCACCCGGCTAATTTTTGTATTTTCAGTAGAGATGGGGTTTCACCATCTTGGCCAGGCTGGTCTCCAACTCCTGACCTCGTGATCCACCTGCCTCAGCCTCCCAAAGTGCTGGGATTACAGGCTTGAGCCACCGCGCCCGGCCACTCAGGCTATTTTCATAAGGAAAAGTGAGTAACAGCACCTCATAGACTGTGCAGGAAGTAATGGAAGTAGCCAGCTGGCCAGGAACTGGAAAATCCAGGTCCCAGTCTATTAGTTTGCTGAGGCTGTTATAACAAAATACCACACACACTGAGTGGCTTCACCAACAGAACTTCCTGTCTCAAGTTCTGGAAACTAGAAGTCCACGATCAAGGTGTCGGCGGGCTGCGCTCCCTCAGGGTGCTGGGAAAAGATCCGTGCCAGCCCTGTCCAGTTGCTGGCATTCTGCTTGGTGGCTGCCTTCACATGCTGTTCTCCTGGTATGCATGTCTGTGTCAAATGGATTAGGGGCCCACTCTACTCCAGTGTATCATCTTAACTAATGACATTGGCAACGACCCTGTTTCCAAACAAAGTCACATTCTGAGACACCAGGGGTTAAGGTGTCTGCTCACAATTCAACCTGTAATCCCCTCTCTGCCCCACACCCTTGACCCCTCCCAGGACCCCACACTGCTGAGGGAACAAATTCTGTCTGACACAATATCATGTTGTCTTCAATGACTTGGTAGAAAAAGGGTCTTCTCCTAAAAATGAAAATGAACTAAGTTAGGCTGTTCATCAACAATACTAACCCAGTAGGTTACACGTAAGAATTTTCGGGTGGGTAATTAATCCGTGAGTCCTCCAAGGGAAATGAAGCCTCTTCCAGTGCGCTCGATTAGGCCGTACAGCAAACATACACTGGCTGGGTGTGGTGGTTCACACTTGTAATCCCAGCACCTTGGGAGGCCGAGGCCGAGGGATTGCTTGAGCTCAGGAGTTCGAAACCAGCCGAGGCAACATGGTGAGACCTCGTCTCTATTCAAATTAATAAATAAAAGCAAAACAAAACAAATACACACTGAGCACCCACCATGTGCTCAGGAGACAAGGGGGAACAGGCTGTCTGCACTCGGGGATCAGAGAAGCAAGCACAGCAAGGCAAGGATGTTGTTTTACAGCAGAAGCGCAGTGGAAGCAAAGGACGGAGGCTCAGGGGCGAGGGGAGGGGCCACGAGAAGCTGTTTTTCAGCTGGGCTGCAGAATGAAGAGGATTTGGGGGTCCGGTGCCTG